CTGAGCCTCAATCCAAGAAAATAATACATCTCCTGTACTGTAAACGTGGTAAAGAAAAAAAGCAACAGTTTCATCTCTTCTCCCCTTACACACCAGATTCTTCATTTAACAGACACTGACAAAATGCAGCTACAGAAAATACTTTGCTTTATGGAGTCTCTACAATGAGCGACCTTAACTTTTCTGGTAACTTAAAAAGATAACAGGACTTCACATTGGCACCATCAATATACACATTTCAGAACACTTTAGACAGGCTTGGGGACATCACTGCAGATGAACCATTTCACACCTCTCTGGGTCCTTCAGGGCTACTCCTCCTCAGCCAGGCTGCTCTGCTTGTTAGAAAGCACAACTCACACCTTCCTGCTGCTCCAGCCAGCAGAAAAACAACTGGTTGGGAAGAAAAGGAGTAAGCTACACTCGTTTCAGGAGAGAATTGAATAGTTTATTTTGCCCAATCAAGAGCCCTTCAGCATAATGACACATTCATATACACATATATGAACATTTTTTTCTGAAACATTAATGTATAATACATTTTAAATTTAAAATACCAGCTTCACAGGTATTTTTATTTACAAAAATATTCCATACTTAATTTTTTAACTTCATTATGATGACATAGTTCAGTCCAAGTACATGTAAGTAAAATAACTCTATGCAATCTAACATAGTTGAGTTTGTAACAGTACAGTTTGCAGTTCATATGAAACTATATTTGTAGACAGATGGATTTGCAACCCTACCTAAAAAATGCATATTCCAGTAATCATCCTCAGGAGAGCTAGTGGGGCTCAGCAAGACTTAACTGAAGAATAAATTGCAATGAACATAAGGGAAAAAGAAAACACACGTGTACACACTAACATATACAGAAACAAGAACTGCTACACATCAAGCATGCTTACCCAGGAGTGGGCAATGTTAGAAAAATTTACGGATGTATTTTTTTTTCCCCATGGTGCTGGTACAATAAAACAGCAGCATAACTAGAAAGCAGCATGTTTTCCTAGTTCTAACCACTACAGATAGCAGAGCTCAGGTCTAAAATAACACAGTACTGCTTATTTACAATTCTGTTTTAAAAGGGAATATTTAAAACATGTTCCCACCCCTCTCCCTTTCCATTACTTATGACTGAATGGTAATGGTAATCCACATACAACTCCTTACATGTTTTCAACTGAAACAGTTTAACTTCTAGTTATTTGCCTGGTAATATGGTACTAACAGAAAGAAATACAAGTGTCAAAGTAACCTACAGCTGTAGGTTAGCTTAAATGTTTCTAGGCGCACATGGAACTACTAAAAGAAATACTGATTGACATCTTTCATTTGATTGTTTGGTGGTTTTGCCTCATTTCTCTTCTTCCTCCTTTTCCACTTTTTAAAAATTAAGACCTTTAAATTAAGACATCTTTAAGTCTAAACTTTATAAGGTGCAAAAGAACCCAGAAACAGTACACTCATCGGACTTGAAACAGTATAAAGGTAGATATATAGCACAGATTTCGAAGGGGCTTAAGAGGATGAAATCGGCCCAGGTTAGCTTTTCAATGAAAACTGAAGTAAAATTGGCTTAATTAATTCACCTACACTACACCCTTTTCCCCCCAATTCTGTTCACTTCCACCCCTCAAGCATCATGTTGTGGTAATAGCAAAGTTATAAACATCCACCCGAAAAGACTCAAATCAATTATCCAGGAAATTGGCTGGCATGAGGGAAGATTCAAGTGACAAGCTGCCCTTCTACCTGGAGAAGGAGGCAAGGCACTTCAGTCCTTCCCTCCCACACCAGACTCTGTCTGCAGTCAGTGACTGCCCAGACATGTTAAACCACAAGCAGAAAGTAGAGAGCACTTCAGCCACAGGCTCTTAAGTTTTCCAACACGTTTCGGATACAAAACACCCCAACAAAACAAACCCTCATAAAAAACCAATCCTGATTTACATGTAAAGAGCTGATGTATAATCAAAGAACACAGATTACTCAAAAAAAAAATAAAATGTTTATTGGACAAACCTCACTTCAGTTTTGGAGAATTTTAAAAGTCCAAGAAATAGAGCTGAAAAAAGTCTCTTGTGTATACCAGAAAAAAACCCCAGACCACAGAAAACCAGTCAGCCATGGACTGAAGCTATAGAGAAAACTTTAAGATTAGGCTAGTTCCCTATCTTCTTGGCTCCATACTTGGAGAACTGTTCAAGGGTGTTCATAATGGGAGGTAAAAATAACTGATTATTTTCTGCAAAGCAAAATGGGCTATTTATTTTCATTGCTTAGTAATTGTATCATCTCGATATGAGATATGAATGTATTCATAAGCTTAAAACAACTTCTATGGATAATATACATACTTTAAGTACTTTGACTTAAAACTTGAACATAAGTCTTTTTAAAATTAAAGGTAGAAGTGTACATATAAAAATTATTTAAAACTAAAAGTATATTCTTAAGCAGTATGTATAAATATAACAGATTTCTTTTGTATTATCTAGTAACAAATGTGAAAGTGTTGCATTAATTTATAAACTGAATGCTGACACAGAATATGTGCCTTTCATTAGATTCTCTATTGTATATACATATTTTGCTAAGAAAACACACATTCTAAATAAATCACATAATTAGCAAAGGTGCCTGAAAGTAATCTGTTCTAAAGTCTTTATTGAACATGTGTGTTTATATACAAATAATGAACCTGAACTGCACAAATGCAGAAACAAAATTAAGGAATAAAATACCATGACTGAATTAAAGTGCAGGAAAAATTCAAGTTTAAAAGTTCAGGTAAGATCAGTGCCATTAATTAAGCAAAAAAGAAAAAAACAAAAGAAAGAAAGAAAGAAACAAGAATTCCCACCCTTCCAAAAAAAACCCCAAACCAAAGCACCACCAAGAAAAAAAAAACAAAACAAAAAAAAACAGACAAGGAACACAGCTATATATTACTATACTTTATAACTGACTGTTTGCTGAAGAACAAATCACTGGAGATGCCTGTGGTGTAACACTTTCAGACTGATTTGGAATACAGACATATTTACACATACCAGGATTCAAAAGTTACGATTTGGCAGGACTAAGGTGAAGAAAAGCTTCTTCAGTTTGCAGTTCCTAATGAGACACACTACATATAAACAGATAGGTAGCAGCAGGTAGTTTCTTACTTTCATTAAAAAAAAAGTAATAGCTCAATTGTATTTTATAGTTTTCCAGACACTCTAAAAAATTTCACACAACTAAAATGCTAGTGAAAAAACCAGGGGTGCTTCCCTGCAAGGATTTCAATACACTTGGCTGTACAAAAGGTGCACCACCAATAGCACAGTAAGATGCAATGATGTACGTGTGATCACCTTCCTTCCACTGGGAAGGAGAAAGTAACATTTTAGACTAAAATTGTACATAGCCCCTTTTATTGACCAAGAACCATTTGTGTATTTATCTCTTGAGCAATCATGCCATTAGTCTTCTTATCTAGAAGCATGCCCTGAACATAAGCAACAGAAGAGATTCAACTACGATAGACTGTAACACCAAATAAGCCACTGCTCTTCTGGTACTGGCAGATGGTCTCTCACTGCCTCTTATTATTTTGCTTGCTGGTGGTTGTCAAATGTGTCTTGATGAGAAAGTTAAGTATGCTTTCCTTTCAAGCCAAGATCATCTTCCATTGAAAGATACCATAATTTGTTGAAGAATACTTTTACAATCCTCTCCCCCAGAGCCTAACCAGATTAATTTCCCAGGATTCTGTTGTCCTGAAACGTACTTTATCTTCACCAGGTCAAATAATAATGAGTCATCTCAATTTATAATGTGAGACAAGGAAGGGGACAAGTGTCAGGTAGGGTGGGTTTGTTTGGGTGTGCTATGGGTAGTGGTTTATCTTGTTTTCTTCTATCTGGGTGTCTCACAAAATGGTGTTAAATATGCACTAATTAGAAACTAAAAAGCAAATTAACATGCAGAGGCAAATATTGCATGGCAAACTGAGTTAAGTAAATCAAGTAAACATTGCCTCAGTAGTTATGGGACATAGGAATCAAAATATCTTAGTACTGATTATTTGAATTGTCACATTCTCATTTTTTAAGTCCTTTGAGCAGTGTGCATAGTAGGGCATGCCCTTGTACTGGCAACACAATTCAATTGTCTTTTTTAATTAAATGTTGCTATACATAAAGTGAGAAAATTTATCAGTTTGTGCTTCAAAGCCCAGACATATTTGCCTGTCATTTGAAAAGTGATTTAAGAACCATAACTAACTTCAATATTTTGCATCCTTGAGGTGATTTGTAAGGTTGCCTTATCTGTGTGCCTTCAACATCACTTCACAATACAAATATAACCCAGGTTTTGCTTCGGGAACATTCAGAAAGTTTGTGAAAAAAGTACACAAAATGCAAAGCTTGGAGAAGCAAACCCAAGCGATTAATTTCAGACAATGTAGACCTATCAGCTTCTAAGTACTCCCTTTTGTAAAACAAAATCAGTCAATAACTATTCCTACTTTGAGGAAAAAGATCTAAAGGAATTTTTGAAATGCAAGCATTTATTTTAAGGAAACCTCTCTTTTAAAAAGAGCCTTGCTCATTCACACTGATACAGCTTTAGTGCAGTAGCCATTAACAAGTTAGCTCAGCTGTATTATTTACTTCGCCCAAACTGAACATTATTTCAGCAATTCCTGAAGTTTTTGTGCACACTTTGCCACTGCTTACGATGAAAACATCGCTTTAGAGACTAAATCCAAACTTTAGGACAACTGCCTTTAGTGCTGGGTGGGGCTGAGATAGGTACTTGTAAAATAGCACTACTGGCAGAACCTGGAGATTTTCTGAACAACATCCTGACAATTGTTAAGCATTAGATGCTTGCTTGCCATTATTCATGCATCAGCACTTCCATGGTGTGTAAAACTTTGAAAACCTGAGTCCAAGGTTATCCGATTTCATAGTAAAGGACTAAAGGGGCATCTAGAACTTAAGTCTTGAGCAAAACTATCTCAGATATTTTAATTAATGGCTGTAAAGATACATTCTGTTAAACATCTATAAAAACTCACGGCATGAATGGAACCCACAGCCAATTCTAAATGTTACACAACCTGAACCAATAACTATTTTTGGCAAAAATAACATTTAACTGAACAGAAGTTGAAGAATTCTTACCACAAGGAAGATGTTACCACATTTCACATTGCACAGCCATAACACAAATGAAAACTCCCAGCATGACACATTCCAGCCATATTATTCACTTGACTTTTTTAATGCAAAAATTACGTGTTCTTTTGCTTTTCACGTCACAGAATATGATGTGAATACAAGAATACTAGATCAGGGGTCCAAAAAAGACTATGCACAGGTCAACTATGTATACAATTTTCAATAAGAAATCTTCCAAGCTTCCAACTTTTCAAATGAAAGAAGTGACAGCAAACTTCAAATCTTCTTCAACAATAATGGTAAATATAGTGAGTCCTAGAGAGGGTAATTGTAAGTCAGCTACTGTCCAGCAAGACAAACAACTTGATTCCAGCTCTTGGACCCCTGATTTATTGCCTCTCCTTACAGGAGGGTATAACACTGGCAGCAATTACAATAGCACAAAAACTTTTGGCATATGAAATATTAACACAGGATTGACCCTGCATTGCCCCTGCCCATCTCATCACGATTTCCCTTTACTCTCTTTTCCATGTGTTCCAGTTACCTTTTCTTTTCCAACCTTATGCTAACCAACAGCTAAGAAACACTCAAGTTTCTTTTTCTTTTGTGTGTGTGTTTCTTAGATATAAAGCTCCTCAGTTAAAGCCAGGACTGAGGTAAAACAGTGTGTCATTTGTGCTAGGAAACAACAGTATCCGATGGTGAATACTCCTTTAAATTTCACTGGTCCTGCCAAAATTAATGAAAAAAACAGGATTTTTTTTTTTTCATCAGGACAAAATTAAACAGATGTGATTGATGAGAGTCATCAGAATTGGTACCACTTCTTGTCTTTGTACTTCAACATCATCTAGAAAAGCAAAAAAACCTCTAATTACTGTTTCTGTAATGTACCAAAATGTACAATGACACAAACAAATAATATGCTTACAAAGCAGCAGGAGAAAAGGGTTTTAGCAAGGCTGCTTAAAATTGCAAACACATTACTAAGCACTGAGTGTTTAGCATGATGAATTTTCTAATGGTAGCATCATTGCTGGTGGTCTAGCCTCAGAAAAAGACATTTTTGGGAGAATGGGGAGGTTGCACAGGAGCTTGGGGTGTGGAAAGAAGTCAGCATGAAAATGGATGAGAACAGCCATTCCATGGTAGTTACTGAGGGAAAAAACCGAACTCGCACTCAAAGGGTTTGCATGCAACCGGATCTTTCTTAAGGACAGCAGGAATCTGACATAAAGCATTACTCTTCTTATTAATTCAGCGACAATAAGTAACGTTTTCAGTAATGGGGACTGAGTTGCACACTTAGGAGCTTACATGCCACTCCAGCAGACTGCATGCTCTAGAGCAATGTGCCATGAGACAAAGCTGTTTACAATTAGTACTTAATTGTTAGGAGTAACAAGTGATGGATGAAAGGCAAGTATCCTTTATCAATGATACTGCATGCCCTTTAGATACCTCTGGCATTCAAAGGCATGTTAGCTCATTCACTTGCAGAAATCACATTTATCTGACAACCAGTTTAATGTTCAGTTTAGCATACTCACCTCATGAGCGTGTTTTGAGAAAGAATCAGCACTGTAAAGCATTGCTGCAGTTTTTTCTTCCAGTTCTCCCAGTTTCTGTCCTCTTTCATCCAGTGCCAACCGGGCTCGTGCCAGTTCACCAACTACACCGGATGCTGCTCCTTTGACACCTTCGATACCCCCAGGTCCTGGAATATGCTGGGCAAGACTCCTTGATGCCTTCCCAGATGCTGATTCTCCAACTGAAGGCATTTGCAAAAGCAGCAAATACAGAATAGTAAGTTTTTCTGTCATTATGATGTAAATATCACTGAAACTAGATCTTTAATTTCTTAGTATGGAGACCAAACAGCTACTTGTAGGTATGACTATGAGCAACACTCACTTCTCCACATTGGTAGATGTTGCTACATTAGAACTGAGACATTCAAACATATTTTCAAGTTTTCAGGCAGGTTATAAAATTGTAAGCTCTTCATAGCTCAGATATGAAATCAGAATTCTGATGTTCATCAATAGAATTGTTAAAAAACACTTCACCAGCCAGTACAGCTTATTTCATGTGGAATGTGTGCTGAGTTCAACAGACACAGCAAGGTTTTGAAAATGAAAGCTGTGGTTAGTTCTGGAAGTGCTCTGCTGGAATGTTAGCCAGCCAGCCTGATTCCAACAGCAGAAGTTTCTTTTGATGTAAGTTCAATTTTACATGCAGACACCTGAAGATCAGGTGTCTGTGCTGTCATTATTGTAAAAACCCTTGCAAAACAAAAACAAAAAAATCCCAAAAACAAACAAACAAAGTAAAAAGACAGCATGGCTGTAAGAATAAATCAGCACAAATAGTCAGTTGAACAGCTCCAGACTCCAGTGATGGCACTGACTGCATCGACTTTGCTCTTAATGGGACATCAGCCACCCAGTAAAATCTAGACACTTGATGTGCCAATCCCATGCAGAATTGTACAGACTAAAGAAATCTGAGTACAATGAAATATGGTTTGAATATTTTCTTTTTACCTCTAGGAAAAATAATATTAACTGGTTAAATACGTTTTGATGCAGTATTTCAAGACTCTCTGATTTGATTTTATGCTTCTATTAAGAATGATTTACATTTAAATTAATACTATAAACACCTTTCTGTGAATTCCCAAAATAAGAAAGAGAAATATTTTCACTTATTACAGATTCTGCTGTGACCCTCATGGTATATGTGGCTACTTTAAAGATAGTCTTAAATGTCTTTTGAATTATCACTGAACTCTCTGTCAGGATACAATTCATTAAGTTTTTTTTTCTTCCTTTCAATACTACTTTCCTTCTAAAGATCCAAGCAAAAACTTAATGGTATTGAAACTTGAAATGATATAAAGATATAGCTTCTAAAGTTACAAGGTATTCTTCCACTGTCTCAGTCATATTAAATTATAATTTGTGCACATAGATTTCTCTACTAGAATACTTGACCAACCTTCCATAGTATTACATATGTGTGTGTATATATATATATATATATATATAGAAGAAACCTGACCCGAAGAAGTGACCTCTAAATATCTAAATATCTGATATTTCCTCAGAATGTGCAACCACAAGTAATAAAGTCTAATTTTTATTCTGTAGAGATCAAAAGAACCACCATAAAAGAAAGAACTAGCAAGGCACCTTGTCCATTTTGATAGATACGTTTCATGTTAATAAGAAAAAGGTTCTTAAAAATAAGCTTGCATAATATGGTGTTGCATCTAGAAAATACCTAAATAAATAAAAGGAAGCTATTTTCCTTAAACATATTAAAGTGCTAAATGTCACCATAGTAAAAAAAAAAATAAAAAAAAAAATTATAAAGCAATGAAAATTTTGCCAAATCTAAATTTTACTGTCCTATAAACAAAAGACTGAATTAAAATATCAAACAGTTCTGTCCTTGCTGTTATTCCTAAGGCATCTCTGCACAAGTAAAACAAGGAAAATCTGGCAAATAGCTGAAGTGGAGTTAAGTTTTAATTTTCTCACTGTCCAGAACAGAATTCTCCAAAAGCAGTCCCTTTCAGTTTACCAGCATAAATAGAATCATGGTCAGTACTATAGGCTTCAAAAAGATCAATAAAAATAAGATTATAAAACAAGAAATGGAATAACTTATCTAGTGCTGAATAAATGAGCTAAAAGAATCTGTGAAAAAAAACATACCAAGCTTTTCTGACCTTGGTGGTAAGGCAGAAACACAAAATCTATGAAAAAAAGTATTTGTCACTCCCTATTTTACTTTCCTCTTCACAAAGGTAACATTCTATCAACACAGGTAATACATTTATCAAGGATCACTGACTTAAATAACAATTAATAACTTACAGAGTTCTTCTCTGTCAAGTGACTGTGCCCCACCTCCGAACAGGCCTTTAAAGAACCCCCTGTTTGGTGCTTCTGGTGTTTCTACAGGAGTGAAGAGCTCACCCAACATTTCCTTTGCAATGAAAAAGAGACGTAACAAGGCAGAAATTATTAAAAAGAATGGAACATTCTTTCATTTTCATGATTTATTTAATGGATTTGAATTTCAAAATGAATATGCTTTAATGGGCATCTGCTTTTGCAAGGTGATGTAGGAAATGGAAAAATAAATACATTTTAAGAAATTTGTCCAAAACATCTGCTTCTGATGGTTGCAAGCTTAGAGCTCATGGAATTCAGAAGCAAAGAAATGCATTCAAGTAAAGCTAACTTGCCCCGCAACAACTTGGACAAGACTCCTGACTTTGTTCTATTGAAACTCTAGCTACAAATACTTATATCCACGGAGCAGTATGAAAGTACAGCCTGCAACTCTGCTATTTCATTATTCTATACAACCACCAAGCTGAAGCATGACTGAGAAGTTGTTAATACCCCTGAGACTTAATAGCTTCCTTCAAATATCCTGAGTTAGCATTCCCCACTTGTGTCAGCATGCGTCAATTGATCAAGGGAATTTTAACCGCATGCTAAAACGAAATTTCCTGTTGAACAAAACGAAATTAAGCAAGAAACTGATTCAGCTACAATAGCATGGATGAAACAAAAATTTAATGTAGAAATGCTTCATGCAGAATCAGAGTTTACAGTGAAGGAAAATAAAAGGGGAAAAAATATATCAAAGCACAAAAGCCTAAATGCTCAGCTCAGAACGCATCTAAGAAAAACGTGATTTTTTAAAAAGAGTTCTATACCTGAAGATTTTCACATGTTTCCTGGCTGTAGGTGAGCCTCTGTATTTCAGTTGGTGAGACAAGATACAGTGCTTGTCCATTATTGGTGAAGCAGAATGTTCTGGCTATCCTCATATTGGTGAGTGGCAGGTAATATACATCCAACAATGGCCTTAAACTTGGCAAACTTAAGGAAAATAATTAAAAAGCCCATTAAATATAGCAGAAATGTCAATTATTGATCAAATGGCTCATTCTTAAATTGCAATACATATTTATTTCTCCTTTTAATTTAATTTAAATTTAATTTTCTTTTTTTTAATTTAATTTATTTAATTTTTCATTTAATGACATTACAGAATCTCAAAACATCAGATTTTTCAAGGTAGCTCCTCAAAAGTGAAATTTAAACATCTGCATCACAGATGCATTTAAAAGCATTTTTTTAAATGTTAGTCTGAGCATATAAATCACAAATTCACTATTTTAGTTAGTGAATTAGGCATTACTTAATAATTACCAAGGCATTTTGATAAGTATCTACCAAGAGTTTACTTAATTTTTAATTAAACATCCTGTCTCTTCTCTTGGGTTAATAATTTCTCCTTGACTAAAAATAAAAGTCTAAAAGAAAGACCTCTCCTTGAGAAAATGTAGAAATATGAGTGTGCTGACAAAGGAAAGCAGAACACAGTAGCCTCAATCAATCTTATGAATTAAGTCTCCCTTTTATCTCCTGACTAGATATTGAAGGGAAAGTCCTCTTAGAGCAAAGTTTTCTTACCTTGTATTTACTGATTCTGTACATGTAACTGCAGAACTTACTGTATCAATCTACTAAAGAACAGCCAGCACACTTGGGCTAGAACAATATTCCCCTACCAAACATTCCTCTCCCTCAATGTGACAATAAGTGCAAGTAAGAAAAGACAAAACACCTAATTTCTTGACAAGTAGAACCAAAAATAAACCACTGTTTCAAACAATCCCTGTGAAATTCTTTTAAAAAAATTACAAAAGTTGTTAGCTGTCAATGTCCCAATAATACAACAAACAGCTTCTGCTGCAGACACCATCTGCATAAGGTTATTAATTCTAGACACTAAAAAAGCAGCAAAGGGGCAAACTGAAGTTACACCCAGAGAAAGATGCAGTAACCAGAACAGTATCAGGTTGCTTTTTCTTTTTCTTTGTTTTTTCTTTTTCTGCATGATGCTGTGATTGCCTTTGGAGGCAAATTTTAAAAATGAGAAATAACAAGCAATATTCTCTTGTAAGCATATCACCCAGATATGACACCTCTGCCACACATGTATCCAAAATAAGAATATTCCTAAGAGAGTCAGTAACAGGGAAGTGTTTTGCTTCAGATCCATGGGAGCATAAAACATTCTTACTGCTTCAAAGCACAAAAACATTAGATCAAACAGGACAAGCATGACATCCATGAGAGCCTTTTCATAATTTCATGATTGTTACAGGTTTGTCTGTTACTAAGGCCTATCTGGATTTATATCAGTAGTTAAGTATCAGGGCATCTTGGGTATGATGCAGTGCTTTGACAACTCTACACAAACTGCATGTAAGGCCCACTCCCCAGCAGCAACTTAGGCTTACAAAATGGAGCTCAGCGTTGGAGTCCAACTTCCCCACACAAGGTAACTATTCAGCATTTATAACTTAGCACAAATGCTGAGTTCATTAGAAAACAATGTGAATCCTGAAGAAGACAGGATTTGTTTCACTATATGTTATCTGAACATTACTAAGTTTAGTTTCAATTGGGAAAAACAATACTGTTTGCCCTGCAAGGTGAACAGCATTTTTTAGAGATGTTTAGGATACATAAAACATGGGATATACAGCAATGGAGTTACAGACTTACATACTACATTAAAAAACAAGTTTTGATTGTATTAGTTTTAGTTTTACTTCTAACAACTTGCTAAAGAAATACTTTTTTATAGAATTTTCCCTTTGGTAACCTTAAAAATAATCTTTTAGGAACTTTACTGGCACAATGTTGTAGGGCCATGTTCCACATTCATCTTATCATTAGGCCACAACCAAACTGCAGGTACAAGGGTGTAAGTATGTACACACTTCTGGTTTAGAATAAAATAGCAGTTAGAAACATTTAAGATAAAGGACATGAAGATTACATAGGTGGCCTGTAAGTATATTTAAGAATTTCTACTACAACACATGTTTAAACTCATAACTTAAACCTCTTACTTTAGATGACTCATTACTATACTACTGCTAGCAGTTAATCTTGACTTCATAGACTAAGTTTAAGGCTTTTAAGACACAAGCAAGCTACACAACAAAATACTGAGGCATGGGTGGGATGAAAATAGCTGCACAAAAACAGGCAGAGTTCTGGTCAGGTAGAAGCTAAAGGTCTAACTCAAGGCAGTTTTACCCATCAAGAAGTAAATTCAACTTTTAGACAAACTTAAAGTAATGGATCTGTATCACCCATTTGGAACCATGTGTTGAATCCATCTAGCTTGAGCTGAAGTGATAAAACTTTTTCATGTGTTAAAGACACAACTAATAAGAATGTGCAATCAAAAATATTCAGGCTCAAGTGTTAGAGAATCATCAACCCTGAGTGAATGTATTTTTTAAAAAATTCATCATCCTGTGGAAAAAGGAACCTTTATGTGTTGCAGAAGACTATTTCTTTTTATATTTAAGTTACTATCAAACAGATCTTACCTAAAAGTCATAATATGTCCATTGGCACAGAAACATGCAAGGCAGATACTGTTACTCAATGACACTATGTCTCCACGAAGAACAAAAGAAGTCTCTGTTATATTTTGCTTATAAATACAGTTCTGGGATGGCAGTGAGATAACTTTTGCTTGCTTTTCTGAACATATCACTGCATATTGGTTTTCACTGATTTCCTGAGAGGAAGAAGGGGACACTGAGACAGGTCGTCGCTTTTTTGCTTTTTCTTTTTCATCTTTATCTTCAGGAACATTGTGTTCTCTCCAGGGTTCATGCGCTGGTGGGACCAAAGATCCTGTGGTGTCCAAAAAAGCCATTCTCAAGATTGCACCTTTTAGCCTCAGGATGGTTCCTAGGAAAGAGTAGTTAAGCACATTTCTAAAACAGTTCTCCTAAATCACTTTTCAAGCTACAAAACATTCCTTTAAAAGCTAAGAGAATGAAAAGAAAAAAAGAACTTCAATTTGTCTCCTTAGAAAAACAGATGTACACAAACCTTGGGTATTTATCTAAAAACCAGTGAAGCACAAATGTAATCAGGAAAATGTTAAACCAGTTTTCAAGGGTAAAGTGGGTATATACTCTCATTAAATTCAAGGGAAATGTATTTGAATTTAAATTCAGTGTCACAAATACAACTCATTTCATCCTCTCCTGATAAGTACACAGCATGTTTAATACCAACAATAAATGTTATTATTAGTCAAAGGCGAGCACCACCTTTTCCTTCAATTGGTTCAGAAACAAGCATATATGTTTTTTTATTTCTCCCCTGCAGTTCACACTTGAATCCACTTCTCTAGCTTGAAATGAAAAAGTTTTCTCTCCTTACTGCTCAAATCACTGTCTCTGTAGGCCAGATCTTAAGTGAATAAATTTTATTTTACTTTAATTTATTCACACATAAATAACAACATGAACATTTGCTATGTACAAAATATAAAGCAATATCTTTTAAGGATTATGCTGAAGATCCAAAGAGGAGACACACTGCCTAGCCTGCGGCATTGCCTTTATGACCAAATGCTCTCAAATCTGACCACTGCAGCCAATACCTCACTCGATGGGCACAAATCCCATCTACGGTGTCTATGGCCACTCCTAATCATTCCTCCAATCAAACAGCATTGCATTTCAATGCAGTGCATCAAACATTTCTATGTTTGATACCATCTGTGTAGCAAAATGGACTAAAGCAGCATGTCTTGCATTAGACAGTGATAGCACGAAAGCTAAATCTATGACTAACAGTATATCCAACAGTATATAACCGTTATTACATAATTATAACAAAATCAGTTGCTGTGCATCAGAAAAACAAGATACAAGACCTTTCACAGCAATCCAAAGGAATATATTTTCCACTAATATATCAAGCTAGTTGTTCAATTTACAGACTCAGTTTGCACTCCCTTTTCTTGCTGCAGGAAAATTGATTGATTCTTACCCCATGACTAAAATCACAAGAATAAACTGAACATTTGATACTATTCATCTCTTCTGCTATCTCTGTTTAACAACTGCAAACATTGTTTTCTCAGCAAGTAAACACTAAAGTTGTATTTTTATATTTTATGAAACTGTACTTTACACTTTCCCAATTTGAGAAACTCTGGTAACCAGTAATCAGTCTAGATTGTTACACTTAGCAGCTAAATAAATGGAATATTTTTAATTAATCAATAATTGAAAAGAAAACCCCGAACAGTTTCTTAAAAAAATATGAAGAACAACAACACTTTATCAAAGCATACTTTAGCCTGTCTGCTTTGTACATACCACTAGGAGAAACAATTACTGGCTGAAGAAGTCTCTGCTCTCCTCCTGGGGGTAAGTTCAGTACAATGACAAGCACTGTACCCAGCGTGGTCCCAACCCACAGGCAAGGGGAAGGTGATGTATCAGCCTTTCTTGTGAACGTCTCACAGAAATGAAGAGCTGAAATTGCCTCACGTGACTCCTTATCAATGCTAGTTACACTAGAACTCCGGGATCGACTGAAAGAGTTGTCTTTGACATCTGAAAATAAATCAGTATTAATTAAAAAGAATAGCAAATTGCAGGGATTAAGAGAATTTAACTGGTTTTTTGTTCTTTAGCATCAATTTTATACTAACTATAATGCTATTGATTTATGTACCCCTATCCTTACTTAGTCATATTTCCTTATTCCCTAGTTTCCATCTGTTTTTTGAGAAAAGCACCATCTTATTTCCAGAGGTTGCCATTAGGTAATTATCACGAAAAATTCTAAAGCATATTTCTAGATCTAGATCTTCTAGAGCCAGAGGATAATAGTCATCAAGTAGTCCTCTAAAAAAATTGGATTAGAAACCTCTCTGCCAATTAGTTCATTGATCAGATGAAAAAATATTGGCTCCCATGGATCACAGTAAACTAATCTTAGGAAGATACAATCATTTCAGTTTAGGAAATGCAGTGACATCTGCACAGCATGATAGCATGGAACCTGTAATGACTCGCAGTATTGTTCCACTTTAGGAAAAGTGTGCAGGAGATCTAACAGGTTATTTACACACCCCCAAGCTTTTATTAAGAGAAAAACAAATGCTATCAAATGGCACCTGGTACTGCTATGCAAAGCTGAAGATTCCCACTTGGAATGCTGTAGCATAGTTCCAGTAATAGCACTAAAGCTTTTCTGGATGTTTTGCTGTTTAGCAACAAGTGAATTCTAACATTAACAAAAATGTGCTGCTCCACTCTTGCTGTATGCTATCTGTAGGTATAGCAATACCTAATATATCAGCAGACACTGAATTTAATGTTATACTTTCTTATTTCATAATTGCCAAGTTTTAGCACAAGACAGCCCTCATCAGCAAAAGTTTGATGCAATTTATGCTACGCTTTTTTAAAAAATAACTCAAAAAATCTTTTGAGTAGGGTATAGATGCAATTGATATTTTAAAGCAGGATTAAGAGCTAAAGAACAAAATTCAACCATGTACTATTTGGAACTATAACTATGTTAGTTTCATTAAATTATTGAAAAGCTTTCTACAAAGAATATCTAACATGCATTTGGAAAGCATACCTACTAGATTTCAACTGATTAAATACACACATCTACTTAACACAAACAGTGAAACTTCTCAGGAGATAATTGCATCATTCCAACAGGGAAAGAAAAAACCATTGTCCTGTTGAATTTTAGCTGTCAAATATAAAACATGAATTATAGAAACTAACTCAGTAAACTCAGATGTTGACATACTAAGTTTTCACATTAAAAACAGTAAATCCAGTGTAAAACAATAATTTGTTTTTATGAGTCTTCTAATGACCACCACCTCTTATGATGCTTGTTTTTTCCAGGCTTGAATATTTACTAATTTAATTATTTTTTTCAATTTTAACATGGATTAATCAGTCTGAATATAATCAATCATACCTTAACTGCAATAAGAATAGCTTTACATGTGCATTTGTGATTTCTAGCTAGTTGGAGAGTATTTGTACAAATTCCAAAGGATTGGAATGGACAGGAGAAAACCAATAACTTGCCAGACAATATGGGCATTTTTGAAGGTGAACAATCCATTCAGAAGAGAGAACAGAGGGTTAAAAGCTTAACTGCTTTACTGCATCCTAGTTATCATGAAGTCAAGAAAGAAGCTTGTAAATGGATTAGATTCAGATGAAGAGGAAGGAACAGCAGTGTGATGAATCACTACACACCATCAGAAGGATGGAAAGATGAGGCTCTTTTCAGGAAGTAAAGCAAGGAATAGCACCTAGTGGCAGTAGCATCTTAATCACTGAATTAGAACATTGAAAAGCAATGGTATAATGCAGACAAGGGTACGATGAAGATAACTTCTGTTTTAGAAAGCAAAGAATAAATACAGAAACACATAGTTTAGATTTTATCTGTTCAGAAAGGAAAAGAAGCCAGTTAAAGATCTAAAGACAGAAAAGTAATTTGAAAGAAGATCATGGAAGAGGAGGTTTCAAGAAGCCATGGAAACAAGAGACAATGATAAGGATAATGAATTTAGGAGAAAGGCATTTCAGTTGTCTCCTACAGCCAATAGATACGGCCACATAAGTGACAAAAATACAAGCAAGCCAACACTGAAAAACACTATGCAAAAGCTATATCACTACGAGAAAAAATAGAAGCAAAATTAAATGTAAATGCTTAAGAAAATGATTTACAGACCTGAAAACCTAGAAGAATTTTACTCAGAACAAAATGAGGTCTCTAAGCACAGATATTCACATACATGCAGTCAAAACCAGTCAAAGGCTATTACAATTCAGAAGGTACATACTATTTTATGAGTTTATCAGAAATGATGTGACAAAAAACCCTTTCCATTATTTCAGTAAACAGCAAATATTAAGTGATGTAGAAAACACTGTAACTCTTTCAAGATTGGAAAGTGCTGAAAAAAAATCAGCATTCACTTTTCACCAGTCTTCATTAGGGAAAAGTAACACTTCCAAGTACTTACTGCCATCAAAGAACTGTGAGTAAAACAGCAGATTGGTTAATATTTAAGTATAAATGTGTTCCAGTTTGCCAAGTATGAAATTCACCCTATACCAAAATTATCCCTAAAACTTTAGTGGACATAGTGCGGAACAATAGAAACATATTGAAGAGTCGTCAAATTCTTCTGCTCTTCTGTGCCAACATGGCCACAGTCAAATCGCTCTAGTTCCAGACACTAAGCTTAGAAAGATGTGGAAAAATTTCAGTTCCAGAGGAGATTAACAGAAGCCACCCTAGGTTTAGATACAATAACCTAGAGAAGAACAAACTGAATTCTGTAAAGAAAAAAAAAATCTGTAAAAATTAAATTAGAGATATGATGACAGATTTCAACAGCATAAAAAAATTACTAAAATAGGGAGTACTTGTAATCCCTGTTCATCGTGGAAAGGACAAGAAAAAGTTAATATGGAAGCAAGGAAGTTTGATTAAATAATAGGAAATCTGTCTAATTAGACTGCACAACAGTGAAACTTCATCTGGTATATGTCTAAAAACTTATTTATTGGAGGCTCATGAATAGATCAGAGGTTAAATTGTCAAAACATCCATATCCCTGCCAAAGGATCCTTGCCAATCCTTGGATAAAGAATCTCTGAGGATTGCTTCCAACTTTACATTTCCCTGAGAGGTGCAAGCTGTAATTGTAAATCAGGGTGGTCCAGCTCAGTTTCAGAATATCCCAGTGCCATGGACATTTCCCCCTGGTGACAGCAGCAGCACCTGGCAAACTACAGCTGCCAGACTGATCCTGGCTGTCTTCAGCTGGGCTGGTGGTGGCAATTCTGCTGCAGAAAGAGGAGCAAGCTGTGGCAAGCAGAAGGCAGCTGCATTTATTACTGTAGGTCTACAGTTGTCCCCCATCATCTCTAGAGAACAAGTCAGAGGAGTTGGATCTGATCTAACAGCTGGCACTCAGAGTATTTAAAAAACCCCAACCTACTCATTTGTACGTTGTTCTAGTTAGGCAACACAATGACCTTTAGAACTACAGACCTCAAAACTGAACTGATCCTTATTTAAAAAGTTACTGTGCATTTTCAAGAAAAATCAATTCTCAGACTGGTCATCCATCCAAACAGCTGTATATTGCTTTACTTTAGAGAGAGTGGTCACAAAAGAATTAACATTTATAAAACTACACCAAACTATTTGTTGAGAGCACCTCAACATATCCTGTTAAGGTATTTCATTTCTCAATTTAAAGTGTATCAGATGGTCTTACACAGACAGCAGCTTTCCTAATGCCGTCTGCTTATTCACGCTTTTGTTATCACAGCGCTACTGATGTGTGACAGATGCCTAAAAATTATGATGAAAGTGTGATAAGCCATATACAGGAATTGCAGGCTTACCTTATGATGACAGCAATGACATTTTGTGCCTGAGAGTCCCCAAAAAGAGTGCAATTAAAATTTTATTTCTACACTTCAGATAAATGCAAATAAAGTCACGATAGCTTACATAACTTAGGCCTCTTACTTTAACATACTCACATTCAGATTTAGTAAAAATAAAATCAACTATATAAACTTACCTAAATCAGGCTTTAACTCAGTTGGCAAACTTAGCTTCCTGGACATCTTTGCTGAAAAGTGAAGTATATCTTTTTTTTAAAAAGAATAAACATAATTTTGCTGGTCCTTATTTGCTTCTTTCACAATATTTAATATATAATTGATTATTACATTCATTGAGGTACTTTAAAGTATTTCCACTAAAGCAGAGCCTCACTTCCTCAAGTGAGGGGTGCAAACTAAATCATGGAAGACAGCAATATCCCTAAATACAGCATCTTATGACTTTTGTTGAGCTTGATTTCCCTTTAGGCTTCAGGAAGAGCTTAATGGATTGGATGAACTTGGCTTTGGCTGAGCCTCAAGTTTTAATTTCTCAGGTGAAAGGTCAGAATTGCAAGGATGTGCACTGATTCTTACAAAAAGTTAAGATCCCATCCCCATTTCTCATGCCCTACTTTCTGATCAAATCTGAGACATTTAAAATGAAAAAAAAGAAAAGGAACTTGAAATTACACTAAAATTAATACAAATTTGTATAAAACTAATCACCTGAGATAAAATCCACAACCTTAGAAGAATGAAGACATTACAGAGAATAATCATAAAATCAGCAGTGTACAAACACTTGCAACACATTCAAAAAACCAGAAAGATTTTGATATAATATTGCTCAACTGAAAAACAGTACTTCAACTCATCCCTGACTTAGAAATTGGTTTTATAGGAACAGAAATCTTGCAGTCCATTTAAACTGCAGTAGAATACAAACAAATGCTGCTAAAAAAACCATCAAAAATAAAATAGTAGGCATGCATACCTCTTCCATCTTTCTTTCAAATAACTGGAGAAGGAATTATTTTGATATAGTTTATCTGCTAGATCAGGACTACACTCTGCATTTCTCTCCCAGCCACTTGCTTCAGTTTTGATATATCATTAAATTCTTTATGATCTTGCAAGGGTAATACGTCTTTTCCTAAAGTACATACTGAGCACAGCCTCATAATTCTAGGAATACCTTGTAATGGATACCACCCAAAGCAGCCTGAATCTTGCTGCTTTTCTCTGTTAAAGTTAGAGTTACCTCATTCCAATTATCACTTTAACAGAAATCACTCCAATTTCAAGATTTCCAAATCTTCAATATCCTGAAGAAGAGCATGTGACTTAAAGTTACTTCCATTTCTTCCAAAGGTGAAATACTTCACTGTATCATCAATTATGCTCATCAATATTGCAAATGCTAGTTTATCTGAATAGTTGAACAGTTTTATTCCTGTCATACATCATAAAAATTTGAGAACAAGACTCCAGAAATAATCTTCCAATTTCCTTTATGTGTCAATGTTAAAGGTATGTTTGAATTAAATTGAAATTACTTACTCTCAGGCAGAAATGCTCATCACCTATTTTAGGACAGGCTGAAACTGAAAAGGCCAGCACAACTATGTGTTTTCTACCTTCATCCTTGCATTAGCACTGGCAAATACCCAACTTAAGAGTGAGGCCAAAACTCATCTGAATGAGGTTCCTGCCAAATGTTGCTTCCACACAAGATCAACTCCTACTTCAGATCAGAGCTCAGAGATACGAACAGAAAACCTGAGAACACAACAGCACTAGTGATGAGGAGCCCATCTTTTTGCTATCAGCTTCTGGACAAGAACTTAAATCAGCTTCTGGACAAGATCATGAAATCTCATCTGGAATAGTGAATTACAAGGTGGGCATTCCCCATAACACTTGTTTTCTCTGTAAGACATTTAAATATTAAGAGCTGAGATACTGAACAAAACTTGAAGTAAGTACACAAAAAACAACCAGAGTTATTTTTGGCTTTTAACAGCTTTCACCATGTGTAAATACCTTAACCTCCTCAACTAACTGAAGAACAGTACAGTCACCCTTGGCTTTTCAAATAGAAACATTTAGCACAATCTTAACAACTGGGAGAAAACTGACCAAAAAAAACTTTAAAAAAATTAAAAAATTAAAAAATAAATAAAAGTCAATCCAAGGTCACAGATACTATAAAACACTATAGCACATAATAGCAACTGTAGGTAAATGTGTTAGATTCTGAGAGCTGATCCAGTTTTAGCTTTTTGTTCCTTAGTGAAAGGCCAGCTGTGTGAACTAGACTGGTATGATAAAACAAATTTGTCAGACAATTTTCAACATATACTGAACTATGCCTCATTAATAGGACAAGAGGATACATGAATTGTTAAAAAAGGATATCATTACTGGAAATTGTGAATTACTGTGCTATGCAAAAAACACCCAACATTTCAAAACATATGTTAATGTGTCAGAAACCTCAATAATTCAAATGTAAATGAGAAATAAGATCCTATTCCAACAGCAATGGTGCCATCTTGTGTTTAAAAAAAAAACTGCCTAAACATGCAGTAAGAAAATAGGACTATTTCACCAGCTAAGCCCTTTTTAACTAACATTATAGAAAAAATAATCCCTGCTTGTATTCACATTGGCTAAAGTTTTACAATTTTTGATAAATTCAATAAATTTTGATAATGTTTTTTATGCCTCAGATGAAAACCAGCAACGTGCTAGATGCCTTGTACAAAGCAAATGATATAAATCAGAAAAATGAAAGATACAGGATGGAGATCTACAGAAAGAATATTCAGTGTCAGGCTTTTCACTCCAGCTGCACAACAAGGCAGAGGTGATGCTGACTGCTCCTGCTGACTTCAAATAGTAGCTGTCATACCATAGTTCAGTATCTCTCTTGGGGGTGGTGGTTGCTGCAGCATTTATGGCCCAGACTGGTACGAGACAATGACACAGAGATCAGGGAGCTGTTGTGCTCCTCCTGGCACACTGCTGCTCAAGGCAACAGTGACTATTTTGCCTGGGTTTAGACCTATATTTAATATTTCTCTAAATCAGAAAAATCTAGAGTAATACACAGGTGCACACGCATGTTCTGTCAATATATATAATTAGGTATCGTAACAGAGAACTGTCCAAACCCAAGGGTTCTTGGAGATTTCTCACAGGTCAGGCTTGGGAAGGTAGGTGCTAAAATATCAAAGGTTGCTTTTCCATAACATGTTATGTTTCAGTGTAGAAGGAATGCCTTTCAATTCAATGAAGAAAAGCTGAAGCATGAGAAGGCTTCTCAATAGAAAGCTGTGGCTTAGAAGTAACAGTAGCAATTAATTTGCAGTTGGTTATCCTGAGCCGATACTTTGAAATGTATAGTGCATCAGTTTGAAAGCAATACAGTGATTTTTCCTCCATTCCTTTTATTTTAAAATAAAATTCTAAAAATTACAAAGGATCATGTGTCTTGGAGCTTTGACAAGCAAGAGAACAGCTTATGAAGCCTATTTCATGTAACATCACATGAGAAATAACTAAGGAGCTTAGAATTTGTTAGAGATACCAAACCTCCTAAATTATTCTATATTTGACAACTTCACAAAGTGAAATATTTACATTACCAATTAACAAATGTTGAAATCTCTAAAAATCATATGAGAATAATAAAACCATTTTACAGGAAACTGTAAGAAAACATATAGTTGGATACATCCAAAATTCAATCAAAGTATTAAAAACACATTGAAAGAAACTGATATTAGGGAAAATAAGAACTTTTTATGAACATCTTAAAATCTGGTCTGATGAAAACAGCATTAATGGTCAATTATTATAGCAATGTTTGAAAAGTTTAGGTATGTACTTTTAATGTAAGAAATGTGAGAAACCTCTGTCAGTACTAACAGTGGGGATTATAAAACTTTGGAATGAAATCTTCACTGCTTAAGCCTGTCTAATAATACTGTTTGCCATTATTTTTAAATTTATAAAGTGCAGGAAAAAATAAGACCAATTTTCCTGAGAAGTGTTTGACATGTAGGCTATTAGAACAATTACAAAGTTTGTAAAATCTGCCATATTTTGCAGGCACCTTTACTAAAGGTTTTTCCAGATATGGTTATTACATCTTAACTTCCAAGACAATTTGTAGCTATAATATTTAATCATCTGCATCTCTTCATGCCAAATACTTAACTAACCAAATTATGAGTAAAACAGCTGTAGATTTTGCTTCCTCTGAAGCTGGATCCCAATGTCTTCTTATAAAAATGACACAGCCTTAGAAAATAAACACTTTCTTACCAATTCTTCTTTCTGTAAATTCATCTACATTTAGTACACTTCTGCATATTACTTCACAAAATATTGTTTACACCTTCAAATATGTGACATTTGTAAGAGAATGGGCTGGATTCAATAATGGCCACAGCACTTTGCAAAATTTCTAGAAATTTTAATTTAAATCAAGTATCTCAGTATCTCCAAGATAAAGTGTAACTTTATCAAGGTTCATCTTTGATGCAAATAAAAGGGAAACATGACCCAAAACCAACACATTCACAACAGGTCTTTAACTTGATTTAGTACCCATTCCTTAGCACAGAGCATTCACAATTGAGTATTTAGAAGAAAACAACAAACCAGACCAACTGATCAAAATGGTGATGCATGAAGCATTTGCATATTGCTTTACTTGGGCTCTTGTTTCAGTTTTACATTGTTTTTTGATCCAATCATAGAAACCGTGTTTGTTAGTATCACTAATTACAGAAATCTGTAGGAATGACGATGCTCTACATCAGTTGCAATAAAGTAGTAAGTTGACAATGGCTTCACGTTTATAACTGTGTGTGTGATGTTACCCCCTTGCAGCCCTACCACTGCAATAAAATCACTTCACACTGCTATCAGTATTCCCTTGCTCCCTGTTCCCAATGTGACAAACACAGGAGTGATATTAACAGCAACAGAAGTTACCAATGTAAATGATTTTAACTCTGTTTTGCACCTCATTTAGCAGGTTGGATTTCACACATTGACAAAGAATGGAAAGCACTTGAACAGAATGCTCTGTGTGCCAGCGCAGAGAGCTATGACCATGCCATACACATCGAAGACATCAAATTCATCCCTGAGGACAATTTGTTTCATACAACATGGTGATGTTAATGACAGTGACATATTTTACAAAACTCATTGTCCATGCACATTTGGTTGTCAATTCAGTTTGAAACAATGAAAAGCAAAAACATGCAACTATTACCACAGAAAAGGTGTTTTATTTACATGAAAGAGCTTAAAATGTAAGTTCAGAAAGAGCTAGAATAAGCATGCCAGATAAGCTATAGAAAACATGGTAGTGAAACAACCACATTCAGTGCACAGCAAACCACTCAAAACTAGGAAAACGCAAAATAAATAATTATCTTTAAGCTTCCAATAAACTGTGCAAATTACAGAAATCACAGTATAACTTACACCCTGAAGAATGCATTGCTTATAAATAAATGTTTTGCTTTTTTTAGCTGTGAAAAACATTCTTAATACTTTCAGTTGAATAGCTTCCAGCTGAAATAGATGTGAATGGCTCTATAGAATCTCATTAGCATACTTTATTAATACTCTAATGTAACTCTTTGAAAAGAAGTGGAAAAAAACCCAAACAGGTCACAGTTAGTCAAATTTTCCATGTGTTTTGCACAAGACAGTGTGTCTTATGTTCAAAAGAGACAAAAGGGAAACATTACCTCAATGGACATTGATATAACATGCACAAGATTAGATGTTTTTTCCATGTTTTTCTCAACCTGAACATTAGGTTCTAGTTACCCTGAGTTTCCCTTAGGGGAACATATTAATGCTTGTGTAAAAGACAGCAATTTCTTTTTAATTACAGACGAATTCACATAATGCATTATTGACAGCCATTTGTTTTCTTGACCTATATATTTAGACTTTTGCTGCACCAAAATTCATTTTCCCTACCATTTCTGATGTCACTGCAAGAAGATCTCAACACAGAGCAAAAATATGTCCTTTGTACAGTACTTTCTTCATTCCATACCTCAAATTTCAAGAACAACTTTGTCATACTCCTGTTTGTCTCCCTGAATTCTGAAATATTATTTGTCTCAAATACTAAATTATGATGAAAAGGATTCATCTTTTAGGATAAAACTTACATTGCCAAACAGAAAAAACAAAGGGAGACTTCAGGAAAAGAAATCTCTTCCTCCCTCATCTCAAGCTATGCTTCCACACAACCTGTGAAATAGTAGCTTAGCAATTAATTTTACTATATAATTTCAACCTAAACTGACTGAAGAGAAAATGAAATTATTCTACAACGATATATTAATTTGCTAAATGAAAACAAATGAACATTAGCAAAGTGGTTCTGCAATGAAAGAAACCATATCCGAGTTAAGGAAGACGAGTGCCTTTCCCAAAGCTAAATCATACAGACTCTTGCTTTCATTTATTTAATGAGCCAGTTGTGAGAAGCAGAGTTATTTCCATTCCAGCAGTGAAAGGGTTCAATCTACCTGCATACAACATCTCCCAAGGCAATTTTGTTGCCAAATTAAGGCACAACTCTAGGGCTGGTAGGGTATTGTGTCACTGTTGGATGCAGAAAAGTAAAGAGAGTTCTGGAACAAAACATATATACAAAGCCAGTCCTCTTCCAAATGAATAAATGAAACCATAACAGTACCTCTTTCTTGACCACAGCCATATAAAAAACTGACCATATGGCTATGAATACAAAATATTAAAAAGAAATGGTATCAGCCATATGTTCCCAAAACAAGCACACCTTTGCAAAAGTATTGGAATCATGTTGTGACTTGCATAGACTGAACTCTTACTACGTATTAGAATTTCACCCACCCAGAAAAACAGAGAAGTGCAATTGTAAAATCAGAGAATTTAAAACACCAATTTCCTTGATTTTTTAAAATTATTGTGGCCAGTGTATTTAGTACAGAAGCAGCCCATAGAATTACCACCAATTAGCAAAAAGAATGAAAAAAATTAATAACACAATGCATTGAAATTTGACTGGTTTCTGCCTTTTATTTTTTGCTGCTGGGTTAGTGCTGCATAGAGTAAGGCACTGGATTAGAAAGAGTAGAGTTTTTCTAGTTCCTACCTATGTCATTGGTTACCATCTTGGAAAACTTTCTGCTTTTGGTCTTCACTGTAAATAATATTTTAATAAAAAAAAATCATCAATCTAAGTGTATCAAAAGGTGAACTAAAGAAAAAATAAGACTAAAGAAAAGAAAAATACTGTACCCTTTTCTATAAAATTATTCATTTTTTGTTCATCATCAGAATTGTTTGGTGAACCAGAACCTACAAGTGGAGACAGAATGAAATGGATATACATTTGACATGAATGAAGGGGATATATCTCTGACACAAAAATCAATGCATATTAGTACATATAAAATATACATATATAATACGATATATGTATACATATATTATACAAAATTATATATGAGCTCAGAGTTTAATGAAGATAACAAACAAAATATCTGAAATATGAAAAGAAAAAATCTGAAAAGAAAATACTGATACTGGTATTCTCTGTAGCTGTACTAGATATTATAAAGTACAAATTACTTTGGCGTGACAGAATTCTGCCATATTGGAATTAGCCACAGAGATTATAATGCAAGGTACAACGCTGCACATTGCAGCGAGTTTATTGCTAGAAATAATTCTCCCATTGAACAAATGTTCACACTGAATAACTAAATGGCTCTACTAATCATTGCTCCAGACACAGAGATTAGCCTAAGTTATGATTCACAAAACACAGCTGTAACAATAAACATGAGTTCTATAAACTCTTTGGGGTTTTTTTCCAACACAGTCAATCACTGTTGGACCACAGTTCTTCAACTACTCTGTGGACAACTCTGAGCCAATACTGCCACCTGGATTTTTCTGTATCCCAACCCTGAAAAACTGATTGTGGTAACAGACCACAACTTCAGGCTTATTGTTGTCATGAAATTAAAACATTGCCAGGAAATTAAAACAATTAATCTAAAAATGTTAAAATTTAATTGGATTTTATATTGTGGAATTGTAAAACCAGAATAGAACACAAACATTTTGGCACTTTTGAAGACAAAAACTTGACAGTTTAAATGCTGTACAATGTTTTAGGTCAAATAAACACTCCCAGAGTCTAGTCCTATTACTGCTTGACATCTATAGAAAGAGCAGGAGGTAAAATAAATCCTCCTGCATTTTCACAGTGTTCTATAGTTCTGTGTTACCAAAACTGTAGGATACTCTCCCAACTTCCATATGCAGGTAGTCCCTTTCAGGATTCTCTCATCTATATTATCACCCACTGGAGGAAGTCTAGTGGAAGTTACCTTCCACTTCTCTTTACTTGGACATAGAAAGGTAGATTTGAGCAATTGCAGACTTCAGTCCAAACAGTGACTGGTCTCTTCTACAGATCACATGGTAGCAATGAAAGCCAATAAGGCATTAAACTGCCCATCCCATCCTCTAATCTTAGAGCTAGTAACTTGCAAACATGTTGTGTTTGCATATATTCCTCTTAACTAGAAAGCCTCTAGACTGCAAAAGGTTTCTGTAAATTTAGCCTCCATCCTTCTCAAGCTTGAAAACACTGCAGGAAATTTCTCAAAAAGGTCCTCTCTTACCACTGAAAGCTAAACATCACTTTCAAGCTTGTTATCAGTCTTATGCTTTTGCCCAGAAAAGATACAAAACTCAAACCAAACCTAAGGAATTGCAGTTCTTCCCTCTTCACAAACATCAACAAATTATTTCTATACCAGGGTGGTGCATCCAAGATTTTTTCCAAAGGAAAAGTTGTGAAGTCTACCGTAAGCTTCATCTCATTCACTGAGAGCAGAGGACAGAATTGAGGGAAGCAGGGTACAGTCCAACCTCACTACTAGAATTTTCCATTTTACAGGAGAATGCAACAGTTACATTCTCCCTCTATCTTTTTGTCCATTCACTATTTTTTGTACTTTAAACATTACTCTTTAACCTTCTTCAGCTCACACTCAAACAAGAAGAAGAGGAGGGTAGGGGAAGCCAATTGTTAAATTTAGGAGTTTTCCATAAACCTTAACTTTCATCTTTGGACTTGCCTTCATTGCACTTTTGCAGAAGTGGTGAACTGAGTTTTACTCTGCTTCAACATCAAATTATGAAAGAAACTCTCTTATTTAAACTACACAGTGTTTTAAGTTAGGAGTTGTTTGGGCTGACATTTTGGTGATTCTGGAGCAGGGGGAGAAAAGGATACACATTAAAGGTTATGATTCTTAGCTGTTCATTGCAGATATTTTATAGCAGTGTACCAGAACCTAGATTTAGCCCAGAATTTTTAAGTGGGTCAAATACAAATACCACTGTGAATGGATAACTATGCTCGACCTTGACAGAGAAAGGATTACTGCAACTGCAGCAATGTATGGCGAATTGTTTACAGGCATTGGTCTCAATATGTAAAAATGAAATAGGAAACATGTATTTAATTCTCAGCACTACTTTTGTTGCAAACTATAGTGAAGTTGATGACTTCAGCATGCCAACACTTAGCAACACAGATTTGTCATGAAATCACATCTTCAGGTAAGACTTTTAATTAAAATTCACAGCCAGGTTTTGCTTTAATTATAAATAAATCAAATTTTCTCTAAGAAAGAGCTTGCAAAAATGAAAATTACATTGATTGATCTAGAGGAGTGTTTTGCACAATTTAAAATGAACATCAAAAGACAATTGTCAAATTAGAAATTAAAATTTATGTTAAAATTTCTACTAGAGCTACAAACACAATGTTTTGGTTTGTTATGCTTTTAATTTGGATTTGAAAGATAGAAGCTACAGTGGAAAAAGAATCTATCTTTAGACTCCCATCTTGATTAGAATTTTACACTACATACTACTTTATGTGCAGTTGAGTCCTTTAACCTTTGAGTAGTTTTGAATGAAACAAAATGACATTTTTAAAAGTTCTCAGAGCAATAAATAAAGTGACAATTTTTAGCTACTACTAAAACTATTCACTCTAATGCATGCATTATTAACATTATTATAACATTATATATATATATGTATCATTATAACAACATTATTGACATGCATTAAGTATTTACATGGTTACAGCCTCAACTAGCCCATATTAAAATAATAAATCTTGAAAGTTTCATTTAAAATATTCACATAAAGCAAAAATTTTAAGAAGGGTGAAGTAGGAGGAGTATTAAATAGGGAACTTCTACTTTTTTGGGATGCTGGTTTCTGGAGACCTTTAATTCCACAGAAAAATATTAATTTGCTACTTATGAGGAAGCAGAAGCAAACTTGTTCTGAAATAATCTCTACCACTTTTGAGGAATACAAAACAATCACATGAACAATTACAGGAATTTGTGCATCTCTTGTCAATGCTTCAAAATTCCACTGTGCAGTATGTTCCCTGAGGCATAAATATTTCAGCTTATATCTCTCTTTAATCATTTTTATGACATGTTCCTATTGCATTTCTTAAGTCAGCCTTGTTTTAAAAACGCAGTTGTGCAACATGGCAAAATTTGTAACAGCTCCAACAGCTTGTGAGAGGACAGCAGGTTTTATATAATTATTTAACTAGTAAGTGTTAATGCATGCCATCTTCTGGGAAAATAAGAAGCTGAAGATCAGGGAAAGTTATGATTACCTGACGTGGGTGACTTGCAGCGGTCTTCTGGCACCACTGTACCTTCATTTATATCACAAAGACCTGCTGAAACACAAAACCAGTGTATTATAAATACAGTTCCCATTTTATTTTTACTTCCACTGCTGTCAGGAACTTCATTTCTTATTAGAGACAAACAAGCCAGTTGCAATAGAATATGTTACGTATTACTTTTTTTAACATTACCCACAATAACTGTAGAGTCACTTCTTCCTACTAAAGTTTTCTTTGCAAAACACACTCTCTCAACAAATTTCAGCTAGACAGACTTATCAGAACAGTTAATTATTTACATACTACACATATACATTAAGCATAAACATAATCTGTTTTGAAAAAAATCAGAGTTATATTAAAAATGTAATAGCAAAAGAAAATCATACAAAAGAAGGTCTTGAAGATTACAAACACACGACGTGTGAAACTACAGTGCCTTTTTTCAAACTACTTTTCCATGTTACAGTGATGTGCCTTGTATTCACCAATTTGTATTGCCACTTTCATTTTCCAGAAAATCTCCTTATTGGTGTCACAGATGTTAACATCTGAAAGCTAATTCCTTTCATTCCAGTGAAGGAAATAAAACCTAGTCATACAAAATCAGATTCAAAAGACAGAAGCTACCTCAAAGTGGTCCTATATATTATTCCATTGCACAACTTAAAAGTATACAAGAAATTTTTTTATTTTCCTTTTTTGACAAAAAAATGCTGTGAAGACTGCCCACAATCAAAAGAAGTGCATTTTTGTTGATATTTTAGATAACTTGTATATAAGGTTGGTATTTTAATGCATCTTCAGGTTTATATCATGAAGCTTTCTTACAGAAATTTCATGATGTGGTACTAAGGCAAACAAGCATGTAATACTGAACAGTAATAGCTAAGAGATATTTGTTAAAATTAAAGGTTTTTTTGCATGTACACAAATATTTTCAATACTCAAAAAGTCTGAGTGGTAGTGGCTAATACAAGAAAGGTATCACATGGAATGCCTGTCTATACAACTGTACACTACACATCTACACACTACAAGTGCATCTGTACATATCTGTTAACAAACAAAAGTACAACAGCTCTGCTCCATCAAAGCTTTGAGATTTCCAAATGCTAAACTAGAATAGTTTAAAGGGGAAAACTTTCCTGAAATACCATATCAATATGGAACACATTAAAAATATGTTATATTAACAGTTCCATTTATCCAAAAAAGTATTTTTTAAGATTACTAAGAGCATGTATAGCTTAAACCCCAAAATTCAATTACTAGAACTGTCAAATAAAGTTAAGGCTTTGTTAACCCTACATTTAACAGTCCCGGAACCAATTTGAATTCTAAAATGTTGAATAAAATTCCAGGTGGAAGCGATATCTTTCCACTACACAGGAGAAAGAAACGAGGAATTTATTTAGACATCTGCCAGTAAATCGATGAACACTATGGGATAATCAGGGTTTTACACCAGAGTTTTAAACAGGCATGGGAAACTAAGCATTTTGAACTAGACAGGATTGTGTAAAAAGATTTTGGAAAAATCTTAAAATTTCTTTCACAACAAGCAATACAAGTTTTAGATGATAGATGTGCTGGGAGGATAAATCCATACTGTGCTCTTAGAAGTAGTTGCCTCTTGAGGAGCCAAAGCAAAGAAATTCATACATGCAGTTCAGGAACAGAATTTCCTCTTTTCCATAAAGATCAATTCTTTACCTTCAAAGGCAGAGTTTAACTTTGCATACTAGTTCTCCTATGAAAATTCATTAATTGACAGCAATAGTCTTTAGCCAAGAATGTACGCCTGAATTCTTTGTAGGAACTCTCAAGTTTATAATTCAATTAATATACATCTTAATTAATAATTAGTGTGCATTATGGTAATTATTATGGCATGTAAATCTTGAATATCTGTCCAAAACCATTACTGCTATTACTTAGGAAAGAAAAGGAACAGGAATAGATGATAAGTAATTTTAGCTATGATTGTATTCATAATTAAACCAAGCAGAGTATAACAAGAATGATCTAAGGTTGTGAACTAGGAGGATCTGCCCATGGCCAAGCTGAAGAAACTTGCAAAATAATCTCTGTTGCTATTCATCTTAAACCCCCAGGTATCCTGACAGAAACACTGGCAGAAAGACAGCTCTCCTGGAAAAATTCTCTGATTTCAGGTCTATACCATCCATGAAAATTGCTTTGAATTACAAAAGCAAATTGATCCAAGAGTTCCTGTTTCAGAACTAAAAAACCTAAAATGTTCTATAACACCAATATAGCACCTTCTGATAAGCTTTTTAGTTTATCTCTGCATACTCCAGAAGCAAAGAAATTTGAAAATCCTCCAAATTTCCAAGAATCATATCATGTCATTAAAGACATCATTACCATGCTGCATTAAAAACTCCCAAGAATTACAGCTGAAATTAACTGATGTATAAAGTTTCATGAGACTTTTGTCAGTTCTTTGCACAAATTTTAAGCAGACATATCTCAGAAGAACCTACAACTCGACTGGAAAACAGCACAAATAAAAATTATAACTAAAACTTACTTGATATGATGTAAAAGTTAGAATTTTACAGTTAGCCTGAAAAACAGGGTAAAAAAAAAACAACTTCCAAGACCAACAGTCAAACTTTCTGATTTTGGCCTTGGCTGATGTCAGTCAGCTGATGTTGGTCTCATGACATTTAAGTTAAAAATTCAAATAGTTCATGAAGGGGGATGGGGAAAAGAACATGATCAAGAAACTCCAGAAGAGTTCTGGGTATGTATTTTCTTCTAGCTTGTCTCAACCTCACTTTTTGAATCACTTATAGATTACTGTCAAAAAGCTTTTTAATGTAAATTTAAAATTTCTAAAAAGTCACATGCATGTAAGAACTGCTTCAGTTTTGCCAGAAACCTAAACTGCCTCTGGTAGAACTAAGAAATACTAATTTTTAAAGAGTTGTACTACATTGCACTAGTCGAAAAGTCACATAAAATCTTGTAACTCTCACCAACAGTAATTTGCAAAAAAAGAGTTATGATTAATGTTCTCTGTGAACTTAGGGAACTAAGCAGGAAAAAATAACAGCTATGTAAGTTTTGGTTTTTCATCATGATATTATGACATGTCTAATTTTTTTATGAGTACTGATTTAATGACTCCTGTCTTATTTAGCAAAAAGTATATCAAGCAAAGGTCCTAACAGGTCACCTAACAGTGTAAGCCTCCATCATGTATAGCTTTCATCACACTGTAAAGCTTTTACTTACACATTTCATGACTTCGGGCACATGGCCAAAGTCGATTTTCTATACCCTCCCCCCTGACTATTAGACTCTGATTTTGTTTTTAACCTTGACAAGCACCTGATGACACTGTCTGGCAGGCCTTAACAAAACACATATACTGCATGCTTCACAAACTATAAATTGCCACCCAAAACATGTGAGTAGTATACCTGGTATGAATCACTGATAAATTCCAAAACACGATCCCAACTGGGAGCTTGTATCTGTAGAGCTAGCCTGAAATGACAGTTTACAGTCTAGCTAGTGTAGAGAGCCTTGTCTCTAAATAGATGCTGCTTTAAGACGGGAATCTGAATTTCTTTTCTGAGTAGAAAAAATAAGATGACAGAGAAATACATCATATTCTTGCAACACAAGAGAAGGGAAAAAAATCTCGCATTTCCATTCATATTTTAGAAGATATGTAACTCTTAGTCTATGATTTTTTTTAAAAGATGCCTTTGTAAATTTTTTTTTTGTTTGATTAAGGACATAGCATTTATTAAATCCTAAGTATGTGGTCAGGTGATGATCTATTGAATCGGCATTTTATGCTGAAACATACAGAATATCAGGGTTTTTAAAGAGGAAGGACCAATTCTTCTTGCCTTTTTTGGAAATGGTTGAACATACAATAGCAATATGCTCCTCTGTTGCATGCTGCCTGAATGCATGTGTAAGCTAGCATGACTTTTTTTTTAATTACACTGTTGTTTTCTCAAGGAATAGGATTTTTCTAAACCAACCACATTAGATAGAAAAGCACTAGGAAGATTTAGATATTAAATACTAGTACTCCCTGAGATGATTAGTTGTATAGCCATTGAAAATACCTTATTCATAGAAAAAAAATTAAATCAAAGTATTAAAATAGAAATGTTTTCAAGATGGAGATCCAATGAAGGCACATCTTTCAAACCAAAACCAAGGAAGCATAAGCACCTTGCATTTTTGAACACACTAAATGCAGGTAGTAAATGTTCAAGAAAGAGAGAATGCAAAACCCAAAATTGTTCTGACTATATCACATAGATCCAATCCTATAAATAAATCAAAGGGTAGTGCTTAAATGTAACAAACTCATTATTTGTGGAAAATTATTGAAGCAAATTCTGACGTCTGGGCAACACATACACTGAAAGAACTACAAATAATGAGAAATGTTAAATGATAACTAAAGAAATTATTTTTAGGTTTTAAAATTAACCAAGATACTGTCAGGATGCTAAGCAGAAAGAGAATTACAGAATACATTACAGAAATTAACTCTTGGGTACAAAACTTGTTTAAACTTATTCCTAAATAAAACAGTCCAAGTAAATTCAGCTTTACAGTATTTACTAGCTTTAGGATTTCTACCCATCTTTTTTCTTTTTTCCAAAACAATAATCAATCAGTGCCAGATCCTGGTTTTCAGGTCTGTATCATCTTAAGGTAGAGGCATTTCTTTTATACCTAGCTCCCTTTATGCAATGGCAGTAGAGGAGGAAATACTATAGAGAAAGTGGTATTTGGCAATCGAGACTATCCTCTGAGATGTATTTCTTCTTTCTTTTTGGGTGAAAGGAAATGGCAGAATTAAGACTTGGACCACAATTTCAAGTTTGTTTTGCAATTTTGTTTTTTTTAATTCCACTTTTACAGTAGCTTAATCTACTCTACTTCATTAAAAAAAGGGCTGAGATTACCTACCTCTGCCTGAGGGCTGGAGAAAGTGGCATCCTAAGAAAAGGAACAATGTTATGCTTTTAAAAAATAAGATTTACATTCTCAAGACTCTTGGATGCTGTGAAGGATGTTATAAGTCAGACTCTCTCAGGTAATTCATGGTTCTGATGGATTACCTTCCTTACACAGAAACCTGAACTTCAAAACTGCTTGGAAACCAAACAGGGCTGTGCAGTACCCATACACTTCCACTCTTAATCCCTATAAACAACATTTTTGTAGAAGTAACTTTTTACTTTTAAAAGAAGAATCTCTCTGTAATCACAATGTTTATTCTTATCATTGCTACTAATACTCTAACTCTGGAGTTCTGAAGCTTTTTCTGCCAGAAAGGGAACCAAGCAAAGAAAGTTTCTAGTAAAATAACACCAAATTTGTGAGTAAGATCTTAGCTCTATAAACATTAGCAAATTCTGAGATACACTCTCTTTTTGATTTTGAGACTTATTTATTTGAAAACACAAAATACAGAGACTATTATGGTTGCTTTTTTCGTTTAAATTCCTTCTAAAGATACCACAAACAAGAAATACAATGGATGCAGGATGGATTGAAACCAGTTTCTCTAAGTAAAACAATTACTTAAAAAGGGCTGTGAAAAATAATTATGGTGAGTGAGCAACACACACAAAAAAAAAATCAAGTTCAGATGTTCAAAAAGTATTTGAATGCCATGAGATGACTTACTTATATAAGAGGTGCGAAGCTTTTTCACAGACTCTGAATATAAGTTAGAAAGGCCGCACATGCAAGAAGCCACAGTCAGCATACCTTCATGAAGCAATGAGAAAAGGAAAGACGGAGACACTAACAGTACATTTGAGACAGAAAAGCCAGCCAAGTAACTTGTACAACCAGGTTATTAAAATGCTATTGCCATGCAGATTGTTAGTCTCAGAAGTTAAGATGAAAAAAACATGACTCCATATAACAGCTACAATAATGAGCAAAAAGCACTTTCATCATAAACATCTTAGAGACACAGTTGAAACACAGTTATGTGGATCCAATTTATTGGATTAAAATAAGAACAGTTAAGGAAACAAAGGCAAGTGATGTCTAAAGCTCCAAAAGGCAATTTATGATCTATATGCATGAGGCAGAATTTAAGCCTTTAAGCCCTGTACTACCAGCACAAATTAACACAGTAAAATTGTAAAGCTATTTCTTTCTCTCAAGGTTTATTTCATACAAGAAAATATTTTATCTGACAGAATACCAACTGTGTAGCTTTGCTCTATATGAATGATTTTTAGATCTGTTTCCTCAGTTGAAATAAGCTGACTGGTGTTAACTGCATCTTTTTCAAACCATCCATTTACTAAAATACCTTCTACAACATCCATTTCAATTTGAATAAGATATTACCTGAAAAACTTAGGACTTCATTCTGGGTCTCTTAAAAAAATTAACAATCATGAGGAAGGGTTTTTTGGAACAGTTTATTATGTCTTGTGCTGTTTTCTGAAATAACTTAGGAGTACCCATGACACATCAGAGAAAAGAAAATTTTAAAATAATACATTTTCCTTTTGGTTACAAAAAGCTTTGCATTTTGATTGTAAAGTCACTTTCCTTTTTTTAGCTGAAAAAGAACAATCTTCAGCATATTTTTAAGTCCTTTTCTTTTTTTTTTTTTTTCAAAGTGATTTATTTTACCAGCTTGTATGTAGAAGTTTATTTTGTTCATTTAAATCAAAGGTTTCCTCTGAAGCTTAACTAAACACTATTAACAACAGAACATGATTTAGCTCAACAGGGACATTTCTAGCCAAATTTTAAAACAGGAAGCCAAAAGATCCCAGAAAACACTCAGGCTATTTGCAAACATTAATGGATTTATACAAGCATGTAATATGGGTACTAGCTTTATCAGAAACATCAGGATACTTCTTCATGCTGTGTACATTCTTGTAACTTGTAATCCATTGTAAATTTATATTTTTTCTTAAAATATACATTACCCTGAAAAATAAGTAACGGTATGAAGCATCAGAAGATTCCACTAAGCAACAATTTTTAAGAAATGATGAATTAACAAAGCTGCAGTAGTGACATTAGCAACAGATCAAGAAGAAAGAAAACCACAGTGAGGAATGTTAGCATTTAATGAACATACACTAAGACAAGATGATCAATTGTGCCTTTCTTCTGAGCTTGAAATATGGTTCGGGTTACTCACCTCCGGATGGCTGCCGAGTTTTTCGGGGAGATCGTGGCTCCCTACGATAGGGATCATTGGAGCCATACAGTTCAATAGTGCCTAGATTCAAGAGCACTGTCTTCTGGAGATAATCAACCATGGCAATACCATTACAGTTTCCAAAAACTACTCTGGAAAAAGAGAAGTGAAATGAAAGACAATGCTAATTAAACATGGGTAATGTTTCATGCAAATATTTTTTGCAGTTCAGCATTTAATACTTCCTCATTTTTAGGAATTAACCTAGATTGCACTTATTTATAAATTACTATTTGAGAGTACAGTATTGATTAATTGTTCTCTTGTAAAAACATGGTGCTGAGTAGGACAGACCACTGTCAATGTTCTTGCCAACCTCTTTCAGCCTTAAATGACACTTACTCTTGGCTGTACAGTGCTGGGTGAGGACGAATGATACTGATTTGCTTCTGCTATCAGCATCATTGGTATCTGCCATGACCCAAAAGGAATTGTCTCAGAAGCACAAGAAACTGATTACCTCTATGTTGCTGTGCAGCTCGGGTGAACACACCCAGAGACTCAGTTTTAATGGATAGTTTTAAACCACTTTGATGGAAAGAGCTGTGTAGAATATACTTACAGGCCATACGCTGAGTTGACAGCTAAGCTGGTTATCTGTTGAGGAGGTTCTCCACTCACCCACACCAGCTGGATAACGAGCTCAATTTGGTAGCCTGGAGACTGCTTGAGAGGAGAATTTTTAACTCTGGAAAGTAAACAGAACATGGTGTCTTCCATTTTTTCCTTATGGGACCAGAGTTCATTAAATTCTACACCATGCTGGACTTTAAAATGTTGGAAAATTGTAAAAACTATGATCAAAAGCAAATAAAAGCAACCAGAAGAAAAAGCCACATTGAAACTGGGAATTAACTTCTTTTGATTCACTACCTAATTGAAAATGAATTGAATAACGATCACAAATGTTTCATTTTTTCCAACCTCAGAACAAGGCCTAACAGTGCTATTATGCTGCATTTCCTTGAATAGAGGCAGGTGTTCAGTCAGTGTCTAAAAAGGAAGATGTTACCCGTTTTTCAGAGTTTCCGGAAGAACTCTAATTTAGAGAACAGAAGGGGGTTAGAGGTGTACATGGAATGAGAAAAATAAAAAGAGAAAGAGAAACAAAATGTATTGAGATAAATGCAAATAAAAAGCTGATGATATGGCAAAACCAAAATTAAAACAAGTAAATTATTGTAATAGTAGACAAAGTGTATGCAATGAAACTGGGACGGGAAATGAAACTCCTGTAAAGAATTTGTCGCCATGCTGACAAATGAACTGGCATGGAAAGGATTAGGTTTTGCATTTTCTTATGCGAAAAGTTAGGTAGAACAAGTTGCTGTTTCCTGAATTCCACTTCTTTTACCCATTTATTCTCACTGATGGATATTTTGGTTTGACAATATTTTAGATATTAGTCTAGAATAGTTTAGAATTTTCTGATTTTTCTACCTAGATGAGTTTCCTTCAGAAATACACCTCTCCAGCTCAGTGCAATCAATACATTTTCAAAACTCTTACCCAAATAAAGCAACCCTATCAGAATTAATTGTTTTCTGGATGGATACAGTCAAAGAATTAAAATCCAGCTTGGGATCTTAAACTTCAGACAAAAAAGTATATACTTAACTTTATATCTCTAGGTATATATTACGTATTTCTTACATTCTGTTGGAAGAAATGATGGCGCAGATGTCACATAATGCATTCTTGTAGGAGAGTAAAAAAATATAGACTTTTTAAATTCTGATTTCTCTAAATGGGCAAAAGCTCACACAAAGAAGCTTGCAGGAAAAGCTCTCAATTTAAAAAGATAAAAAAAACATGTCCAAGACCTACAATGAGAGCACTATTAGGTATCGTGCAAAGTGAAGATCCATGACAAAGGGACATTTAATTCTGTTTCCAAAACACAAAGTTGTTCGCTTGGAGGATTTTCAAAAAGAAATATAAACCTAAAGAGTTAGCACTCAGCTAGCTATCTGTAAGAATTTTCACTTTTGATTTGCTTCTAAAACTTAAGGCTCTGCAAAATTAACAGATTAAACATGTTCAGACATGGCCTTAAGCTAAGGAGAGCCACAAAACATCAATTTTCCAATTCATTTCAAGGACGAGAAGATATCAAAGTGACTGAACTGCAGCTATTAAAAACTGTTTGCTCTAAAGCATGATCATCTATAGCAACATTAACATCTATGCCAGATTTTCCTAAATCAAATTAATTAATCAAATTAAAAAATAAAACATTTTCACCAGCAATGATAGATCTGTAACGATATCAAAGTACATATACTCTAATCACATATTCTTGCACCATTTCATACTCACTGAAAATATAACAGAATATACTTACTTTAAACATGGGACATTATCACGAAGTCCATCAGATGAACTGCTACTGGTAGATGGATGAGACTGGGGAACAATGGATTGAGGATTGGAACCTGTGCCTGGAGTTGGTACAGGTGGCACCTGCTCACCATCTGGAGTTTCAACATCATTTATTTCATATAGGAGACGTACTTCCAGCATCTGTTAATTAAAGTAAAAAAATCATCAATAATGTCTGCCTTTCAAAACACTGAATATGAATTAAATGAAGTGCAACTGAAGATAGTAGTGATATCAGTGACATCTAGGACCCTTCCCCTATTTTAAAAGGTAACAGTTTAAAAAACAATGCAATTTAAAGACACATTTTTCAGAAATACAGAGTCATACTGTTACAGACTGAATATCTGAAGATTGCTAGAATTTGAATGTCAGACATATTTCCCAGTTTTTAAAAGTTTGCTTCTTAATATTGAAATAAATTAAATACTGGACTCATTTAATTATCATTCTGCTTGCAGACACTCTCAGTTAGGAAGTCACTGAAAGCCATTATATTGGTGTGCAATATTTACTTTTGCTGAATTTCATAATTAATTACTATCTCTCAAAAAACCCACCTCTCTTTGTTCGAGTCAATCAGTTTTTGTCCATTCCACTAATATAATTAAGGACAAAAATACAGTAAATTGCTAAAACAGTTTTATTATGGCAAAAAAAATGTTAAAAAAATGGTCAAACACTTTACCGGAATGACTTCCGTTGTCACTTCCTGCTTGCTGAACCTGTAAATAATGACATGTGCAGAAACTCCAGCTATGCACAGCATTCTACTTTCTGGACACCATGAGATGATCTGAATAGCATATGGATCTTCATCTACTATATCTGTGTTTGGCCTGTCATCTTTATTCCGTGATTTTTCAAATACTTTGGCTGTTTTTAGCTTATAGAGTACTTGCAGCGTTACTAGGAACAAAGCAAAAGAGAAAAATTAGTTTTGATCTAAACAGATAGCTAATATATCGCTATAGCTAATTCTTGAATTGTATCCTTCTCAACTGCAATTTTAATTCTGTGTTACATTTTCCTTCAACTGTCTTCATGCTGATTTCAAAGTTCACAGGCATATTGTCTAGTCAAAGGCCCAAATCAATGCTATAAATACTAACCAAAACATTAGAAAAACCTAAATTATAGCATCCTTTCTCCTCTTCCATTTTTCAGTGGTTTTACCTGAATCATATTTCCCTAGTTCATCTGTAAGACTGTCCTATTAGAAAAAATGGAAAAGTTTTTAAATCAATGTAGAGGACAATTGCAATTTCCCCCTTAATAGATTTATTTATCTGTTTTAGAAAGAAACTAAGTATTCTTTAACAGAATCTCATTTTGACAGATCTACGCTGAATAGAATTTTTAAGCACACAATCAGTCAGATTTGGCTTCCCCCCTCCTCTCTCCCAGGTTCCACTCCTACTCCAAACTGAAATTAAAGATCTATAACATTCCAAATAGCCCTCCTCCCAGTTTTTAAACATATACATTGCATCTGTTCCCTCCCACAACCACACACGCCTTAGCCTTTTGGAATCTCACCAGTTTTCCACGAGTTTTCAAAGAGAACTAATGACGATTCCAAGATTGCCTTAAACAGCTTTTAGTTATCAAGAGTAAGACTAGTTCCAACTAGACCAATTCAAGCATCTAACTTTGTGCAATCATTTCTACTTCAGATTCTTGCTGCATTTTTCACTGTGAGCTATGCCAAATATCAGAAGTAATTAACTCTTCAACTAAAGATGAAAAATCTAAAACTCTAGGAAAGATCTCTACTGAAAACACTTACTTGCTGATGCATCCCAAAACTTGATTGATCCATCAGCATGCCTATAAAATATTAAAAAAATAATGAGATGATGAAATGATTAGTTGGAGTGCTAACCTCTGTTACTGATTGGAAAGTATACAGTTAGCATTCTATTTTTATTAGTCTTCTCAGTGACACTTTATTTTCACAATTTATTAGAAGTCAATATTCTACCAACGTGCTGCAATTGCTTTGGACAGAAGAGACTAGAAAAACACTTGGAGGCTAACTCCTTGATGATTTAAAATTTTAAATACTGAGGCATACCTTACCATGTACTTTTTCTTAAAAGATGCCCTATATTAGGAGCAACACATGTAAAGAAGATGCCTAAATATACAGAATCCCACTGTTAATGAGTCATCTAACTTGTTTATTTAGCCTTGAGTTTGAGAATCAGATGACTATTTTTTCAGGACTGTCTTAAAGTCTCTGTAATGTGTAGTACAAGATGACAGTAATCCTGATTAGGGCTAATGGGCTGCTTTCAGTGATACACTGTAAAGCTATAAATTAAATTTCATTTATGTTCCTTAAAGCAGAAAGATCAGTCTTAAAATGATCAGATTTAAGTCTTGGCTTGTCCTTTTTGAGATAAAAAATTGGCTTCCCTTTGAGGAAGATCTGAACCCAATAACTATTTAATGGACCTACCATGCTTTAAAAAAAATACTCAGCTGTTTTGCAAAAATCAAAGAATAAAAGGTAATTTTGATCCAAGTTACTTTAATAATAATCACATGTAATCACAATACCACATACTAATAATTACAATGAATAGTAATAATGCCAGTGAAACACCTGCTATCATTTTGTTTCTACCTCCCCTTCCATATTCTGTTTTGCTTTCTCACTACCACGCCAAGGAGATTATGCCAAGGACATGTCTGGTGATCATAATTTCATCAATCACTCAAACTACTCATACAAAATATTCTAAAAGAGAAACAAAAAATTCTCACTACTACTTAATGAGCTAAGAAAGTTATTAGTAGACTATGGTATCACTTACCCTGTAATAATTATCTCTGGATAGCTCTGTGTGATCAAACCCCAGTTGCCTCCACTGATAGGCCATTCCTGGAAGATTAACAAATACACTGAGGAAGAAAATATTATACAGTGCAAAGTTAAGGCAAATTATTGCAGATCTTCCCCAGACATTAGAGCCACATATATCCTCCCCTGCTAGTAGCCAGTGTCAAAGGCAAGCTGAGTCAGGTGAAGCTTTGGTCCTAGTATGGACACTCCTGATATTTAGAGCTTCTGATTCTCAGTATTTTAAAATAGAAACGTGTGTAGTAGATGTTGTACCTTCTTACTGTAACCCTGACGTTTCTGTCGAGCACCAACTGAATAGAATGCAGGTATGAGATCCGCAGGACAATCAGCAAAATACTCACAACAGGTAACTGGAGACTCGTGTATAGTCAAAGGATAGGGATTCTCAAATATAGGATACCTTTAAAGGAAGAGCAGGATTACTGTTAATCTAGGAAAAACTTTTTTTTAAGTGCAGAACACAAGTTAACACAAGTTAAAAAGTGTTTAAGGACTAAGCTGGCATTCTTTTCATACAGAGAAAATAAATGCATATCAAATTAGAATATGAACAAATACACTACACAACTTTACTGCTCATCTAGTATGAGCAGTAGGTAGTGTAGTAATCTAGATGGAATCTAAAGTTTGTACAGTTTTTAGAGTTTTTCCAGAACACTGCTATTCCTTGTCATTTTACATTTTCAGAAGGTTACTAATTTAGTGGCCTGTGGGAAAAAATAAACTGCCAAGTCTCAGCTGCAGTAACATGGAGTTATGAATTTATTTCTAACTCTTCAGTCTATTCTTCTAGGGATAAAGACAGGAAGACCCCCATCACATTTTGTATTAGTACACTGTACTAAAACAGAAAGTTGTCCAGCACTTTGCATGGACAAATTTTGCTTAATATACTTGCATCTCCAAAGATGTAAAATTACAGATAATAACACTCAATCACAAATTAGAAGAACACACACACACATGCTTCCCAGCACTACCTCCATCAGAAAAGTGACAGAGGCTTAATGAGGAAAAAGGTCAATACTAACAGAGGTAAATGTGTCTGTGTTCAAAGACAATTTATCTCCAGAGAAATGCACAATATATGTAATTTTACCCTTTTCATCTCCCCTTTTTTGAGAGGTGAAAAGACAACTTCTTGTCCCATCTAAAGGAAATAATTAGCAGCAACAGATGAAAACATTCTGCACATCAGGAACTTTTTACAGGGCTATATGGAAAGCAAAAATTTTTTTTAAAAAAACATGCAGAAGAGGCTTAACTTTAACAAAGTATGACAAATCCCTGTGAGAATACAAGGTAAAAGAAAGCCTGTAGATTTATTTTTTGTATTAATTTTATTTCTTTTTTAGGTGTCAGACAACTAGTAGTTTGCAAGTCAATCATAACAGACCATTGTAAAAACAAACTGCTGAAGATTTTTTAGAATGAAAAAGAATAAGCTTTAACATAATTTCAAATTTCAGGCACTTCTAACTAAATAGCTGACACTTAATGTTATTGGTATATCAGAAACAAATTTTGGATACAGCATATGGCCATGTAACATTCAGAAAACCTAAATGAAATTGTGCAATAGCTGCAGAGTTATTAGGACAAAACTTGATCATCCTCCAGATTCCACAGTCTTAATTATCCAAGGTGTCACCACTGACTTTGAGGACAAATATTTATAGGTTTTTGTTTTGCCCTAGAAGGATGTTCTTCACAAGGATTTTTCTTCATTTACCATTGGAGATTCTTAATCAGGAATGGTAGTAAGGTTTTACCTAGTTCCTCTGCTCCTGATCCCTTAACAGTTAGGTGCTACTGCCTATACAAATTTTAATACCCTTCAAAAAAAAATTTAGTAGTGTCTAGAATTTTTAATCACCGCTAATAATAGTGTATGGACTAGTCCATGGACAAAGCAACAGGACACTCAATGTTTTAGTCAGGTGTTATCTGTGAATACTGCAATTGGACACTCCCTTTAAACAATTTCTTACTACAGATATAAACCAGAGAGCAGACATTATCATTCAAATTTTATATATATTATATTACTGCATCAATATGGAGTTACTTTAAGCAATTCAGGTAGCAATTTATTTGGCAATAACATCGAAAGTATTTAAGTGAGATTATATTTTATATATATAATACATATATTATATTATATATAAATATTATTTTAAGAGATGACAACAGCCAAAATTACTTGAGTTATCTGATCAGTTCTTCGCCCTGCTGCCTTGATCAAAACTGCAAGCTCCCCAAAACTTCACACTCCCCTCACAACACTGAGTAATTTCAAAATAAACTGCGATGCTTAACAAGCAGAAGGGATCTATGAATAATCTATTGGTCAGTCAACCAAGCCTGGAAAAAGTCACATGATACTCTACTCATCTACTATAAATTAACTTTAAAAAAAGTTGATACAACAAGATTATCAGTTCATTTGAAGAAATTTTATATTTAATGTTCAAAATTTTATGTTCTGAGGCATTAGGTTGGACTAAAAATCTATAAAATAGAACAGTAGGCTGACCATTGCAGCCAATGATTAAAAATACTCCAGAAGATTCTTACCCATTTTGTGCAAGGTCAATCAGTACTAAGTCCTTTTCTAGGAGAACAACTACAGCATATGGTTCCTGAAAGTCTGAAAGCAAACAACAAAAAAGTTACCTATTGGTAAATGGAGCCCATGCATGCACAGCCTCAAGAATAGAATCAGTGCTTGCACTCTGGCAGCTGAGATTGGAAAGCATTTAGATTACTATAGTTTTTGAAGATATTTTATATACACAGATTCCTGAATACTCCAGGTTTGGAAAAATCTTCTATTCAATTTTCTCATCAGCTCAAATAACCGAAAAAGGAACCTTCAGAGTAACTTGTATAAGCAGATAATATGAGGCAAAGAACCAATTTCTGAGTAACATCCTCCCACCCCTAAACTGCTTTTCCTCATATTCAATGGGGTTTAAGTTTTAATTGTTTACAAAGTGGCTCAAAAAACAGCTGAGTTGACAATAAAATAAGAAACTTGAAAAAGTTCCCAAAATTTTAATTGCCCTCTTTCAGACAGATCCCAAATTCCAAGCTAAGTGATTTCATATACTCTGATAGAAGCTCACAGCTAAAACCATTGGAATCATCAGCAATATAACAGTGTTCATCTGAGATAACTACCTAAACTATGATAAGAAATCCCCTGCTGCAGAAGAGAGATTACAGGCTAGTGGTGAAATCCATGTAAGTAGGGGAATGAATAAAGCCACTAAAAGTTTAAAATAATATAAAAATGCTCCTCATGGTTTAGCACTGACTGGAAAGGCCTTATGTGCCCAAATATCCACAGATAAACACGTGCTCCAGTAACTACAGCTTAAAGTTGTAATGCTTTTTGTCTGCACATGCTTTTGGGATTAAAAAGAAATAAACATGCTATGAGTAATTGCCTTTTTTCTAGACACAAATTTGGCTTTATAATAAACTATTCTATTATGATGTTTTGGCAAGTAAATACTTCAGACAATAGGGATAACAGATGTTGCTGGTGCAAGTCTGATCCTCAGAGATAAAACAGAAAGACAATAGCAAAGAATATTCTGATGGGATAAAACTCCAGCGATAAGGAGTCAAGGTACAGAAAAAATCTTTACAGAGCCTACCATTAGGATATGGTGTTTCACACAGGGTTAGAAAGTCAACAATAGAATAATCCATTTCTAGCACAGCAGTACTTTTCCCATGCATGACTGTTAAACAGGGTCTTCTTCCTACAGTGTCGTACGACAAGCCTCCTGAGAGAATGATGAAAGGCTCCCTGGAATAAAGAAGCAGCATTTAGGATCAAGTCAGGATAACATGCTAAAAGAGACTGGGCAGGTTTTGCAACCTTATGATGAAGTTCAGTGAAATATAAATAAGCAGAAATGTAGTAAAAATAATGCAAACCAGCTTTCATGAAATAAACAACTTGGGTATGTATTTTAAATCTTATTCTAACTCTTGTTTAAGTCCAACATCTCCTCCAAGCATTTTGTTGATTTAATCAAGCTTTATAACTTCTTGGCAAGATGAGATACTTTTAAAATTTTTGTACTGTTTTAGAGTTGTTTTCTTTCTACTGAACTGCAGAGTCACATTTGCTAACAGTCTCTTTTTCCTAACATAAAACACCCCAGCAGAATCAGGAAGAAACAGTACCATTCACTGGCTGTACATATGTACAAGACATACGACTGTCTTAGAGATGCAACCAACTGCTTGACACAACATCTTTTAAGTAATATCACACATTTACTCTAGATGTTTTACCCATTGTTGCCCCTACCACCATGCACAAAATTCAAGAAACTCCTTTGTTATATATCATTCCTACTGCCAAATCAAATAGCCAAGCAAAGCAGAGATATTTCTTCTAGTCTCAAGAGCAGATTAGAGGCTTCCCTTGAAACTTTTTTTAAAAGCTTTTGCAGAAACATACTAGTAAATACACCCATATATTTCCAATATGCACATAATGTACAATTTGCTATTTCATTTATTGAAAACAAGATGAAGTAAATATGTTCATTTTACCAGGTATTTTCTTACTTCCTGATTGTCTAGAGTTATTAATTTTAATACTGCTTATGTTTGAAATGGGACATAATCCTTTTTAAAGAGTATACTGACTGTTTGTAAGCAGGCAGCTCAAAAAATAAATGTTACTCAATACTGACTATTGCCTGAAATTTCACGTTATATTTCTGAAGGAAAAATAGGCACTTTGCATATCTATCAGTTGCTTCTGATTGACTTTTATGCTCACTTTCAGTAAAAATCCTACCCTTCATTTGCATCTTCCTTGGAAGCACCTAGTATATCAATATCTGGAGAAAATTTCTACAGAAAAAAAAAAAAACCATCCCGATGTACTGTAAAAAGAGACACTGAAGAAAACTTCCCTCCACCCCCCCATCCTTTCCTATTTCTTATCCTTTTCCATACTATCTAAATGGCTTTCCCTAGATGGCATTTGAAACACCAAGTGAGACTAGATATATCTGAATTCTTAAAAAATGTGTATTAAGGGTTTGGTTTATGCACATGCTGCACTTTATGAGTTTAAGACTTGGCTGCAACGTACTTTGTGTTTGTAGCACTGAAGGCAAAGCAGACTGAGAGAAGCTTCCAGCTTCTACAGTTATTTCACAATTTGCTTGATCTTCCAGAAAGACATATGACCAAAGATTTGATAAGATCAAAGAGTGCTGCTGGCCAAGGAAGAAACCTCAAAGGAACAGCCATAAATCAGACCATGGCTCCATCAAGTTCAATATCTGCCTCTAACAGTAGCCCAGAGTGTATCCTAGAAAAGGATTAAGTTTTCTCTGAGTCTTCATTTAATCTCAGCTCTTTGTATTGAAACTTTACACAATCTTTTATGGTCATGTCCATGAAGAAATTCAGAAAGTTACACCCTTTACTTTTGTCTGATATTTTTCAGGATGTCAGTGAAGAGAAAAATACTGGTAAGGTCTCATTGTTTTGGAATGATTTACTGTGGTATTTTTTTGTCCATAGAAATCATCATGATTTTTTAAACAATAATGTTGTCAGGAGAATTTGTAGTAATTATCAGGTTTGCAGATTCACTGAGATCAACTGACAGTAACAGAGTAACAAATTTCAGTTTTAAATTTTCATACACAGTGACAATTTTAAGTCGACTTCTCCTGGTTTTATTTCTCAAGGTAATCAAACTGCTTTGGGCAGGCTTGCCAGAGACTGTATCCTTTAGACACAAGGAATGGAAGAGCTAAGAACAGAGCACATTGATCTTTCACACAGATTTTCCACAGAGGAACCAAAGATTAAATCTGACTTGAGTCTGTCAGAAAGACCACTACAAGTTTGTGTATGAATTTTTCATATTTTCATGAAACCATGGATTTACCATGAACACACAATGTGCACTTTCTAATTAAAGTGTTGCCCTTCAGCTGTGATACATATTAAAAGGTTAGTGCACATCAATTAGAAATACATAATTTAAAATAAAAATGTAGAAGATTTGTACTTTATATAATAGATGACACTGAATCAACTTTGGGAATTACATTTTACGTACCTGAAACAATGGAAGACATTTAAAAAAAAAAAAACAACAGTATTTGCATCTTAGAGAATTGCTTTATAGCATTTTTAGCAGCTGCCCATAGAGATTCTTTGAAACAAGTCAGCTTCAGTAGGTTTGCAAGTAATCCCCTTACATGAATTTCCTCATCAGTGAAATATGTAAAATCACTTAGAGAATACTATAAGAAATTGACCATAAAAGGGGGCAACAGGCCATTGAAAAAAAAATTCAGAAAACACAGGATTAGGTCTTGCAATCTATGGAAACAACACAATTGAGAGTTGAGTGGCTCACAACACAGGAAGATGTTTCTGTTCAGTTTTAGAAGAAAACTGTCAAATGTGAGCCAGCTTCTGACAATCCAGATGTGTGAGAGAATGATATATAGAGAAATCAGGTCATTGGTACCATCTGGCTTACTTTTCAAATCATGACTAAATCTGTGGAGAAGTTAATCCTAGTATGAAGATACAAAAGACTTCAAGAGTTAGTTTACCCTAATACTTGAAGTCCTATAGTAGTAGTGAAGATAAAACTTCAAATTTATTTTGGGAAGTGTGGTTTTAAACCAGTAAGCTCACACAAGAAATCAAAACCTAACCCTATCCCTATCTCTTAAATTCAAACTAAATGAACAGATTAACAACTTTTACTTAGTGGGAACCATCATCATTAATGCAACCTCTAGGTCCCAATTACACACAACCGTCTCGCTAAGAGGCACCGCTCAGTTAGTCTATGACAGCTGCACCAGCTACCAAGACAAAACCCTTCTGAATTATGTTTCACATGGAGACTTTTGAGCTCTAATTTCTATTAGACACAGGCAATTTTACCATAATGCTAATATCAACCAGAGTAAATACTATAGGGTACTGAACCTGCACACGTGGAAAGGATGAAGGACTATAGGAAGGACTGAATCTGGAGGGGGAGGGAGTGGCATTAGGAAGCTTGAGAGTGTCTCTAGATTGACTTTAGACATAAAAAGCAGTATGGGAACCATTTTAGAAAGCTCAAAAGGTAAGCTACCTTTGAAATTCAGTGCTTCACAAAAGATGGAGTATTTTAGATGAAAAGTGACTCCAGTAGAGTGACATTATGGTCTGAGATTTCAAAATTATGCCACTTTGCACAAGGACTATACAAAGAATGTACCTCTTTCATACCTTATTCATCAATAGAAGCCTTTCTCTCAGAAATAAAGCTACAGACATACTCTTGTAGGGTAAATTACTTTAGCTCTAGATACGTCACTTTTATTTGCACTATTTGCAGTACACTTAAAAACCAAATTAAACAAACAAAAAGCAACAGAAAACCCCACAAAGTTAGCAAATAAATAGGTAGCTAATAAAGCCCAGGAAAAGCCTCGTGTCCTCCTTTTGTCCTGACCCCAGTTTTATAATATGGAAAACAAAATGCAGAGGAAAAAAAAAAAAGTGAGAAGGAATTGTTAGCTCTACAACAGTAAAATAATAGTGTCTGTAGCCCTTAATATAGGTTGCCATCAGTTATTGTCCTTCCATTTGCATGGTTCTGAACCCCTTTTCTCCAAAAACAGCTTATTAGAATTAGAAGCAGCAAAAAAACTAGTTAAGATCATATCAATGAAATGTTTTCCACTGGAGGAGGAACTGAAACAGACCTAGATCTTTGACCACTCTAGATAGATAAGGGAGAAACAAAAAAAAGGGATGACAGATGTTCAAAATAGAGCATGGAAATAAAGAACATTTTTTCATAATAAAGATTTGAAATATATCTTAAATAAGCATTAAATATTATCTCTTAAATGCAAACTTTCTTTACTTTTTTTTCTGCTGTTTTTAATATTTGAAGAATAGCTATTGGAAATTGCTACAGAAAAAGTTTGATATGTTTCCTACATTGTTTCAGTGGCCTGAAAAATTTTGTCTTGTCCAGAAATGATTCTCCTATGTGCTACAGAAATTAAACTATATCTAAGAAATGACAGCACTTTAGATAAAAGTTAAAATCTTACCTTGCTCATAATTAAACAATTGAAAATGGTAAACAGAAAATCTACCAAAAATTTATTGAAAGTTAGTTCTATCTTGCCTTAAAAATCTTGTTAAGATTACAAGTGAAACTGACAATTGAATTGCAAACTGAAGTACTCATAGCAGTAAAGGAACAGAGATTTCGGTGCACTGTTTCTCCACCACAGTGCAGACTGGTGGGATTTTTCAAGGTTTTTTCTCCCCCCCCTCTCTTAATTAAAGTTGAGGAAAAGTTATCAATAATTGTAGATTTAACAGTACACCGAAGATAGAAAACATTAGAGAGAAGAGTAAATTGAAATGTATCAAAATATTCAGTTTGCAATTCAATTGCCAGTTTCACTTGTAATCTTAACAAGATTTTTAAGGCAAGATAGAACTACCTTTCAATAAAAGGCTCTTGATTGCAGAAATT